AGAAAATGTTCTAGCCGAAGCATCAGGGGAGAGACCAGCCGGCCCCCAGACCATATCGGCTAATCCCTTGCATCTCTGCCACGCACGGAATCGGTTGAAATATTAATCTTAAAAAGTCTAGTCTATTCGGTGCTTTGTTTTCATGGCTATTGTTATGCATATTTTAAAGAACCGTGGCCAAGTGGAAAAAAATTGGGCTTCGATCCAAGAGACTAAGTCAAGCCCGTCTAAGGAGGGTTAGTACCTGGATGGGTGACCTAAACATTATACCTACTCAACTTTTTTCTTTTCTTCGTAGTTTCGACTTGGAAATAATTTAGGTTATATAATTTTTTCTAGTTTCTCTACAAAGATATAGATGCCTTTGTTTTGATTAAAATTCATTTTAGTAACTAGAGAAATATTTGAAACTTAAAAACTGCAGGGCATTTAATCCGTGCCCGGCAGTGCGTCATCATGAGAGAAAGTGCCACGGATAGAGTAGTTCGTATTCTGTGCCGAGAAAAGGCAAACCGCGGCACTTTTTACAATAAAAAGCGAAAATTACAAAAACAGAAAAAGAAAATTGAAAATAATGAAATATATGTAATCAAGTATAAATTCATAACTAAAAACGTAGATGGAAATAGCGCAAAACATGAATTTACATAAGTAGCATAATGCCATCTTGAGTAAAACTATATATTTATTGATAAACAAGTTTAAATAAATATGTCTAATCAAATCAAAAGGAATCTATTTTTTTATAGAAACTTCAACTGCAAGCGATTCTTCGCCTCAACAAATGGATTGGCCAATTTGACGAGCTTGTACAGTTCTCGGCACAAAATACAAACGCCCCTCTTCGTGGCACTCCGAAAAGTTTCTCCTGATTACAGACCTCGCGGCCGCCCAGATTAAATGCCCTCGGCAGTTTTTGATTTTGAACGATTTCTCAACTAAAGAAGAATTATAATCGAGTTACTAGTAAAGTCATCTATTTTGCAGAGATGATTAAAGGGTAAATTTTACACCGTGGAGAGATGTAACGGCGTACAATTTACCCTTTTATCATTACTGTTTCATTAGAAACACCGACGCAGCTCACACTAGTTTTTAGCTAGTTGTCTCTTCTTATTCAGTTTGCAGAGACACATCAAGCGATTCTCCCGGACGAATATAGATTCCAATTTAAACAAGCATTGAGTTTTAGAAATGCGTTTTTTAAGAAATAAAGTTATTATTATTATTATCATTAATTTGTTTTAAGTTGAGAAAGCGACGAAAATTAAAAATTAAAATTAGAGTATTTAATCCATTTTATCTTAGTTCTAAATTTTGGTAAACTCTATTAAATCTGGATAATTTTGAGTCACAAAGAACTCCTCAAGTTTGTAATGGCGGCCCGAGATAGCCTTGAAAGACAGACACTATAGGCTGAGAAGCAGGCGGTCTGTAGTGGACCACGTCATAGGTACCATCAGGATACGAATCAGTTATAGGGTACATGTCTACTATATCGATCCCTGCTTCGCACATGGCTGATGTAGCGTACGCATTGAATAGAATCACTCGCTGAAAGGAAGAAAAAAATAATGCAGTTTCAACGATGGGTATTTTTGAGACTCACATTTCAAAAAATCCTTGGGGAAATTAAGGTCCATTTATCGATATAATTCCCAGAGATGTCAGGTTCTATCCTTCCTTAGACGGAGGAGACCATCCCTTCGGTAGGGAGAAGCGGGAGGCCCACGTTTACCGACAGGAAACGCATTATGCCTCTGGACCAAGAGAAAATGAACTAAGAGAAGGAATCCCCCCTATATAGCCTTGTAACCATCATGTGCACAGTTTGATGCTATTTTTAAACCATTTGTTTTCTGCACGCGCTCTACGCTGTTTGCTTACGTTTTTGTGGTTTTTCCGACTCTGCCCTGAATGTGCACGTCGAAAGCTTGGCAAATACGACAGGAAATTGAAGTAGTAATTTGTTCACCTTTCTGGAGTATTTTTACATTTATTTTCCAAAGCTTTCGACCTACATCGTCATCTTGAGGGCAGATTTGAACATTTGAACATAAAAAAAGCACAAGAAAACGTTAGCAAACAGCGTAGAGCGCGCGCGTACTATGCGCGTGCAGAAAATCAAACGATCAAATAAATGATATCATTGGATGATATTTTTAGAATGGATTCTAAAAATAGCATCAAAGTGTGTACATAATGGGGCGCGGGGATTCCTTCTCTTAGTTCATATTCTCTTGTCTAGACGTAAATGAGAGCCGGTACCTACCTAGTTAGACTCATACATTCTTTACTAGATCAACCCTTCCCTAAAGGGACGCCATGTATAGCTAGACTTCGTATATCATTATGGAGTCCTCATAAGAACGGAAAGACAACTGACCCATCTTCTTCTAAGGTATTCATTCTCTAGACAGATAATGCCTTAGAGGGGGATCCCTATTGATTTTAGAAACCCACCCCTTCTTCAAACACATTGCAAACATACTTGATAAGTACAGAACCGCCATTTTGTTGCTTGTAATTCCTTTGCGTTTTCTTTATTGATCGCCGTCGTCGTCAACCATATCACGTGACCTTTGAACCTGCGTTCCAATTTCCCGTGGGGACTCCTCTCGTTTTCTTTGATCACTCCTATCGTTCGTTGAATAAGGTCCTGGTATCGTTCAAATGTGAGGCCCATGACGTAATGCAAGCCCATGTTCAAAACGATCACACTGTTCACGTGATTGACACGTGGATGTAACAGAACGGAGCGGAAGTGATCTAGAACACGTGTGACGTTGAAGTCCAGTTCATCTGTTTCAGTAGTGTCCAGCTCTATTCTGTACTTGATGTGGTAAATGAAGTTGATGTTGAAGCTGCATTGGTCAAACGAGTCTTTACACAATTCACTGTCGTTAAAGTTGTAGCGATAGCGGTTGTAATTTAGGGAGTCGCCGTAAAACCACATTATTCCTTTGCCTTTCGAGGTATCTCTGTAACGTGGCTGCTGTAGAGATCCTAAAGCCAAAGTTTAAAAGAAATCAATTGGTTAAAGTTAAACTTCATACTGAACACTCAATATTATTTGGGTGACATTCTTCGGATTCATCATGGCGGCTGTAACGTCACATGAGCAAAAAACGTCTGGACATGCTCGCAAATTAGTAAGCAAATTAGTCAAAATTAATTTCTTCTTAATAAAATTATGTAAAATTGACATCAAAATATATATTCATATATTCAAACGAAACGAGCTTTTCGTTTCCATGCAATACACGTGTTGAAATGTGCGCATGCGCAAAACCCTTTCTTTAGTATCAGTTCTTCATTTGAAAGCAAATTGTTTTAATGCAAAGTTGTTTTGTCCCGTACTTACCGGGTACTAGAGGCATCCATGTTCGACGCAGCCATCGTCCATAACCATCCCACAGGAATCGACAAGAAAGACTGCCACAGCCGCTGACCAGTTTATTTGAGCGTACATCTGCATGGAGAAACAAAATTTAAAGTATTAGCGATTATTAATAATTCATTAATTAAACCAGTCAGCCATCAAACGTTTTACTAACTCTACGAAATCAATTGCCTCATGATTGCCTCATGATTGCCTCAATGGGCTTCACCTATTTGTATTCTTACTTTTTATCACATTCTTCAGTGTAGCATTTCCAGATTTAATACTAAACTCATGCAACGGTTTTCTACCCAGAGGCTCAAGGAGATAGTCATCCAGTGTTCCTAGTGTACCTTCAGGCTGGTGCTTTCCTTGGGAATTACCTAAAAAGCAGATCGTTCAGAATTGCCCTTTTAATGGAGTGGTGAACTGGGGAGAGTTTTGTCACACAAAGGCGCCTGGGAACTCGGGACGCTTTTCCTTCGCTTCGATACGGTTTTCAATGTGATGTAAACCTAAATTTGATTGCTATGTGCCTAGATGCAGTAATACTCATTGAAGCAAGCCATATTCATACGTATTCAACAAGAAAGCTTTTTGTGTTATGATGCTAGACGCTTTTGCGCGACGCCGCACGAAAGAACAGGAAAAGGGCCAGAGCAATGCAAAGCTCACAGCTAAAGAGAGTGACCAGAGCAGTAAAGAGTTCAAGTATAAAGATCTTGACTAGTTAAAAGATTCCAAAATTGACCTCTTATTTGGTCTGCTAGTAGCAATGTTGAGTCAAGATGTTGACCAAATAGTGTGGGACCGTTTTTCAGGTGAGCATATTCATCTTTGTCATGTTTTGATTCTTCCCCCACTACGTGCGTTCATGTGAATACATGCGGGTAGCTAGAGTAACCCCTGAATATACTTCATATTTACCTATAATAAACCAATCAGGCGGCGGATCTCGGTATCCATCACACAGCGAATAATCAAGTCGTATCTGCGCTTGGTAGTCACCTGGTTCCATCGGCAAGAACAATACCTCATAGGTACCATTATCATGGTCAATAACTGTGGCTGATATATACGCCTCTCCCTTGATGCGAACCAGCCAACTATCCCCTCCAGATTTCTGAGGAATCTTTGCTTTAGTCCTAGATTGAATTACAAATCGACTGAAACGTCCCGAAGGGTTTAGTTCCCAGAATACGATAGTACTAGTCGTGGCGTTTGTACGCAAAGATGTGTCCTTAACTTTCGAAGACCATTGTATGTACTTTGAACAAGGTTTCAGAAGTTCTTTCCAATCTAGTCTGGCTTTTCTTACTCTGCACCAGTCGGTGACAAAAGAGCTGCTTTCCAATTGAATTTCCACTTCAGCATTTTCTGCGAGACTCGAAAAAGAAGTCCTCAAAAGTAAAATACCTGTCAAACCATTCTCCCAGGTCACCAGCAGAATCACGGAAGACGTAAGACACAGGAAAACCAGAAATAGGAACCGACTGCGATATCGAAGCTGGAAAGGTTTGAAAGTTAGTGAAAAGCCGTAAGCTTTAAGGTTATTCATTCAGCTTCGAAACAATAACCGTGACTGAATTTGATTGTTTTTTTCAATAATGAGCGATGGCCACGAGTTATGTGCGAAAAAGGGTTTATAATTGCGAGTAAAACCTAACAAGGGCGAATACAAAAAGTAATAAGAAGGTGTTGTCTTAAATCTTTTGGCAAGCAATGTATTAAGATATATCTTTGATATAAACTCCCAAAAATACCACAATTTACTCGTAGCGTTATGGCGAGGGGAAAAAAAGGATTCATAAGTAACGTTCATTTCTGTTTTTTTTTTCAAAACTAACTAGTATGCAATCCAAGTTTTTTTCATTCGTTTACGAGAGCCTGAGATATTATTCATAGTTGTCTTAGTACGTATTCGGATTCAGCATTTCACAAATCAGAAACACAAATATACCCAGTACGTTTGGAAATACGGATCAAAAGAGAAATCCTGAGGGTAAACGTTTCAAAACTATACAGATTACTTACAATATTAATAGCCATCTCTTGTAACTTTTGATATAATTCACGCTGCTGTTCTGATAACGTCTAGATCCCTCACAATCACTTTCATATAAATAAAATTTAGAACCGACTGAGACGTTAATCTCCACTATCATGTAATGAACAATGATTCATTACAGCTGATGAATGTCGACCGTCGACGAAAATCCGTTGTCATAACATCTAAATCAAGCAGCAAAGCATTTGTGTTTTGGTGTGCTATACAATACTGAATCACAAACTGACGTTTAAATTCAAATTCAATTTGCAGAGGATGGGTATAACGTAGTTAGCGGTCAAAAGTTCGTAAAATATGTCTTTTATGGTTAGTTTAAATAAGAAACTGACTTTTTTCTCTGTTCAGTTCACAATATAATATATAAATATATATATATTATTTTAGTGCATGTCACCATGCCTGTTGTGCATGTGTTTTGATAGCAACTTAAAAAGACTGGGGTTAACTAGAAAACTTATTATCCCTCAGACTCGAACGTATCTAACTTCTATTTTTTTGTTCTTAATGTATGAGAATGTTTTGCACGTGTGTTTAAATAGATTATCTAGTCTGAAAAAACTTGTATATGTATGAATAATACTTTCATAAGTAAATAAAGACAATTCAATTCTCAATAACTGTTCATGATGAATTTTGTGTGTTAGCTGAAGAATGTAGTGTTCGTGTGTGGGAGTGGGGTCCCAAATCACGAATTAAGTTTGAAATAATAACTTAAGCTCTAAATTTTGTCCACAATGAGAGAAAATTATCTGTGAATTAATGAATATGATGAATTTTTTTCTGATGAATTCTAGAACTTGATTGCACTCGTTGTTTTCGTTACAATTTCCCTTGTTTGACATAGGGCAAAGTTACAATAATTCGAAGAGTCTTTCCCGAGTCATCTTCCACAAGATCTGTTCCAGTTTTTCGTGAAACAACTTGTTCGCAGTTCGACGTATTCAAACAGTAACCTTCGTTAAGGCCATTTTTTCCCCTTTTGGAATATTTGAAAGCAAGATGAAAAGATTCTCGGATCTTTTTCGCTTCTTTAAACGCTTCGGCTATTTGTCTTTCCTCCTTTTCGTTGTAAAAACGACTTACTAAAGGCTTTCGTTGGACAGGCAAAAGCGGTAACAACGAATCCACGTCTATTTTCTGTTTGTTTTGTCGCCTAGTGATTGGCAATTTTTCGTTAGAAATTTTTTGCCTTTTCTTGGATTTTTCTTCGGCTAGTAACATTTTTTGGACGCATTCTCTCTCCTTTTTTACACAACCAGCGTCCTTTAGGATTTCTTCTATCAATTCTTTGTGATTTTTTCTCGAGTCCACAATTTTTAGACGGCGATAAAGCAACTCGCTTGACGATAAAACAGACTTGCTACAGAACTTTTCTCTTTTGTTTTCGAGTTTCCCGTTGTGTATGAAAATATAATTTTTATCCTCCATTTAGAAAACGATCAGGATTCTCTGTGTACTGTACGATCTCAAGAATTCTCTAACCCCAACAAAGAAAAACAAGTTGTAAAAGAAATTTTTCTAGGTCAAAAACGTCAAGGAAAGAAAAACATATTAGCACCTTGAACAAAGCGTTTACGTTAACTACGTTTTTAGGGGAAAATTAAAAGATTTAAGAATGATATCAAGATTAAAGTCAAGGTGATAATAGTACGTATACGAGTAGTTTTATATATTGGACTGCATAGTTTTTGAGTTTATATGCTCCGCATTAACTTGAACCGTCTGAATAAAATCAGGACTGAAATTAAAGTGAGATTTTTAAAAAAAATCTCAAAAAAATAATTCCGGTGTATTGGAAAAACTAATGAATACTTGAATGAACGAGGGATAAACTGGACACGAAAACGATATTCTAACAAGAGGGGATATCAAACGGCTGAAATTTAAAACACAGAAAGAAATATTTATAATGTGCTAAAATCGCGCCTAACATCTGGGGCCTAATATCTGTTTTTAGTTATACCTCTTAGAAATGATTCCAAACTATCTACGAAAAGGACAAAGGTTTCATCATAAAGGCAGGCGTGAAATTAAGATTTTGATCATGTTATCTGCATTAATAGAGAGTTTTAGATTTACGTTCACGGCAAACGTGAAACGTCAGTTGACCAGTAAAAAATTCTTTTAAATTACTGAAAAAGAATCGCAAAAAAGTCCAAAGTAGAAAAACAAAAGAGTATTTGCGCTTGGTGAGAAGGTTTGTAAATGGTAAAGTAAAATACACGAAAACTATGAAAACGTGGTCACGTTTGCCGCTTGCGGGAAGAAAATAAAAGTCAATCTAAAACTCTCTAATATTTCCCCTTCGTTTTCTATGCCTCCAATTAAAGTGTTCAGAATTTCGGTAAATAAAAAAAAATCATATTTAGGCAGCCAAACATTTTTGATATAGAACTCGGTAAATTTATTAAGAGATCGTTTTCTCAAGGTTGCGTGCACATCCAACTTGACGGGCCACAAAACTGAAAAACGCTAATTCAGTAAAATTGAGAAGCCAGTTTTTTATTTAAAGAGAATAATCAATTTTATGAATTCTTATCAAAAACGAAAAAAAAAACAACAAAACACTGTCATAGCAATGCACGATAATACTCATTATATAGCTCGTGTTCTGGAATCGTGGCCTGTCAAGTTCCTTAAATTTGGATGCGCACGCAACCTTGATAAAATGGTGTATTCAAATATAAAGAAATGCTACATTTTGTGCTAAAAACAAACACGATTGTGTACTAAAAAGCAAATCGAGTAATTATTGCTAAAATATGTGCATAGAATATAATAGAAACGGCTCCCGAATTAATGGCATTTTTTGACCAATCACAGCGCACGAAAGCACTACGCAGCCAATGAAAATGACTGACTCGGCCACGGTCACCGCCGTCGCTGTGCGACTGTACCGTCGGATTGACTGCCACATGAGATTGTCTCTATATTTGATAGCCCTGCGAATTAATCAAGTGAGGGGAAGTGTGTTTGCGTGATTGTCACGGTCACCGCCGTCGCTGTGCGACTGTACCGTCGGATTGACTGCCACATGAGATTGTCTCTATATTTCATAGCCGTGCGAATTAATCAAGTGAGGGGAAGCGTGTTGGCGTGATTGTCACGGTCACGGTCACAGCACGACTGTACCGTTTCCATAGTCATATGAGATTGACTCTATATTTCATAGCCGTGCGAATTAATCGAGTGAGGAAAGGGTGTCGGTTTTCTGATTTAGCGATCTTTAGCGTCGTTGTTCCAAAGTACATACGACCCCGTCTCTTGGCTGTAGCGTCCCTTGTTCCTTAATAGTTCGTGTTTGACCTGGGATTAGTGTGATTTTGAAATTCTTTAGAAGTCGGGCCAGCAGCACTTTGGATTCAAACTGAAAATGACATCGACATACGTTATTGTGGTAATAACCCTCATGATCAACATCAACCGCAGCATCATCATAGTTATCACCATCATCATAGTTATCACCATCACCGTCATTAATAACCTTTATCATCGTTATCACCATCATCATCGCCATCATCATCATCATTATAAACATCATCGTCACCATAATTTCATCACCCCATCATCATCGTTATCACCATCACCAAAGTCATTTTAAAATAACCTTTATCATCACCGTCATCACAATCATCATCATCGTCATCATCGTCATCATCATCACCTTGATCATCGTCATGATCACCATCAGATAGAACCATTACTGATAACTACCAATCTAAATGACTATCACCTGAGCAAAGACTTGTCCAATGCAGTTTCTCGGGCCCAAGGAGAACGGCAAGTATGAAAACCGATCACTAAAAAAACATGACAGTTGAATATGTCAAATGTTATGCCCAACGCTCAAAATGAACATTTGTCACTCAATCAAACTCGGGAAAGGTCTATTTCCAGAGAACCTAGATGAAACCAACAGCAACTCAACACACATATGATCACAAGGGGTGGTTCCCATTAAGGGTCCCAGTAGTGTTGAACCCACGTCCATAGCGGCGAAGAGCGCGGCGAGCTAGTTGCACAAGCTTCCCATAACCAGTGTTCCAAAGTTTTCATTTGCACGTTACATTAGCGCGGCCATGTTGAAGGTATTTGAAAAAAGATTTGTCATCAGTTTTCTTTGTTGTTACCCCCAAGATGTCGACAATAGTTACCAACCATCCATCAATCTCGTAGCCAGAGTCAACTAGCTGACCAATAAGCTGGGGGACTCTGGGCTCAAGATTTACCATCAATCAAAGATGTTGTCGCGTGCGCACAAGAAAGCGCCGGGTTCTCGCAATACCTACATTTTGTCAGCATTCTCTTTGTTCCATCGATCGGGATCAAATTTCTCGGGGTCTTCAAAATGATCTGGGTGATGATGGGCGCTGTAGATACTGACCTGCAAAAGAGAGGAATGATACAGTTTTTTATAAGCAACTATTGCTAGGCAACTACGGAGAAAGGGAGTCACATGACTTACGTTAATGAGGGAATTGGCGGGAATCATGTGACCACCAAGAACGATTTGCTCTTTTGTCTCCCGAGCGATTCCCCCCGCGGGTGGGTAAAGCCGTAAAGCTTCTTTCAGCACCTAAGAGAGAGAGAAAAAAAAAAAGAAAAAAAAAATCATCTAATTTACTTTTCCGGGCTTTAAAGGAAAGACTGGTAACAACTTCGTGGCTAATAGCATTGTGGGAACGAACGGGGTTCCGTAGCTTCGCGTCAACAAATCCCATCCCACAGTTCTACGCGCTAAGAAGTCGAAAGAAGAAATAGATTTTTAAGATAATAAATACAACTGTGACATTTTCGAGGGATAAAATATCGTTGCCATGGATACCTGTCCCATGTATTCGAGCTTAGCGAGGTCGTCGAACTCAACGTAATCACGTGATCCAAGCACTTCGTGGATTTCAGCCTTCAATCTGTGTAAAAAAGCAACGGAGTATTTGTTATACATAAAGTATCCTCCGAAATTAAGCCTTGGGCGTATATTTGCACAATGTAACTTTTAGATGGGAATCAGAGGGCTTATTTTTGTTCTTGGAGGGAAATTTGTTAATTATTATTATTGTAAGGACAGCAAACATCTAAATATAGTCTTACTTCTCCAGTACATCAGGGCGTTGAGCAACTTCAAGAAGAAGAAAGGAAAGCTGGTTTGCTGTTGTTTCTTGCCCTGTTCAGAGAAGAATCACAGGGTGCCTAATTTAGAAATGTTTTTTTAGATTTTTTAGTGCTTATTTTACTCAGAATAATACTCAGACAAATGTTTCAACATGATTTTGATTATGATATTTGTTTGGCATCTCGTCTAAAGGTATTAAAAATTGTCCAGCCACAGATGTTTTTACTCTGACAAGCATACCAAATACTTATACCCTAGAGTATTCCTCCTCGGCCTTAGTCATGGAAGTCATTACCAGAGCGCACACAAGGTGCACCTGTGTAAGAAACTAACCTGCAATAAAGAATGTTATGAAGTCGTCGAGCAAATCTTCAGAACTGATACCATGCAATTCTGGAAAAAGACAAAAATAATTGATCAAATAATTGACTCTCTGGTTGATAACTTATGGCAGACAGTTTTTCCCTTTTAAATGAAGGCTGGTAATGAGATTCACGTGATTCATTTAGCTGATTGATGCCAAGCAATAAACTACATTCTGGCTGACAGCACATGACAGACAGAATTTTTTTACCTGTTAGTTTCATCATAGTTGACAGAACATCATTTGGCATTGTCTTTCCACTTGCAATGGCTGCTTGTCTCTTCTCGATACATTTTCTACCAGTCTCTCTCAGAAGCCTTGTCCCATCTGCAACCTGTCTCTGATACTTGAATGTACTTGGGTTGATCTGCATAAAGAATTGATTCAAATATCAAAGTTAACAGACTGCAAATAGGCTATCAATGATAAGCATAGGGTTGTAAGTGGAGTGCTAATAGAGTGTTTCACAGCAACCTTGTTAATGTTGAAGGCAGGTGTGCAGCAAGGGGGGGCAATGTAACCTTTGCCACAGAAATCCTGCATGAATTAATAACATTTTGGTGCCGAGAGCAAACGTTTGGGGGGTGGGGGGGCATATGCCTCAATAAGTTTGCAACTCTCTATTCTAGTGATTGTAGGGAAAGACAAGAGAACTTTTTTCCCTTTGACAAGGCCATCATGCCTTTGTAATACTACCTTGTGAAAAGGATTCCTAAACTTGAACAGAATTCCATTCAAACAGTTTGCAACAGCTGTCGGGAATGGGGAGTGGTCATCGTCCAGAGAATTTAGTTCCATGTCAAAGGCAACCTGATTTAAAAAAAAGGAAAGAAAAAAAATGCCTCTATTATTATTTATAGTGTTGTTAGGGAATCCTTTTAAGGGTGGCGTACAAGTAGTGCACTCAACTCTCACCTCTGCAGTCTCAGGTTTAAGAGTTCTAGAGATCTTCACTGCTCGACCTGAACTTTTTAATACAACACTGGCCCTTGGGCTAGCAGATCTGAGAATTTACAAGTTGAGTACCCTACCCTTAGTATTACAGCTTATTGATACAAATTACTTAAAGGGACTCTGAGGTACCAGACACATCATAGCTAAAAATGTACATCAAACCTTGTTGATTTTGAAAATTGAAATGAAAATTCCATGAAATGCGTTTTTTGAGGTGATATCGTCCGTCAAAGTTGCAAAATGACTTAAGCTGGGCTCCCTGTGGAATAACATGAATTTGATGGCTTGGGATGAATGAGGTGTGATGAAGTCAGATAGTGGAACATGTTGGATAGCTGGAGTTGAATCAGCCGAATTTCGCTATGGAAGTATGGCTGTTCTTTATCAATTTGAGCCGGAAATTGCTTGAGGAGAAGAATATAATACACCCGATGCAAGTGTGAGCAAGGAAAGTGAGCTAGAAGAAGTTTTTACTTCTTTTTACTAGCCCAGAGACACTTTTTAGTAGTCACTAACTATGGACTACTGCTAAGATCCAGCTCCGGATATCCTACTCCTCTTTTGCTATTCACTCCTATCACCTTATAATGTTGTCTAACCTTTCCAATAACATCCAGTGTGACGCGGTGAAAATAATCCAACATTCTGACCTGTGTCTTCCCATCAGCCATTCCACCAATCTTTGTGAGAAACTTGTCACAGCTTTTGTTGTAATCACTGACCAAGGTTTTAAGGTGGCTGTGAACCAAACATTGCCATGGCAACATAATAAATGATATGACAACGAAAAGCAATCAATACATATATACTAATAAACTTATATTTTACGACCCTCACTCCCTGGGAGGGGCTATTCCATGAGGTTTGCTCCACATGCACTCGACCTACTACCTTCATTATTTACCACGCTCATCTCTCATGTGATAGGGCGTTTAGTGTAGTTGGCCCAAGACTATGGAACAATCTTCCACAACATTTACAATCTGTTGATAATTTAGAACTTTTCAAGAAAAAACTTAAAACATATATTTTCAATTTATAAATGAAAATGTTATTATTATTATCATTTATTTTTTTATACACTTTTTTTTAGATACTTCTTTTAATTTATATGTACATATATTTCTCACTTCCTTATATATATATATTTTTTTATTGTAAACAGCGCCTTTGGACTAAAAGGATTAAGGCACTATATAAATCTTGTTGTTATTATTATTATTATTATTATTATTATTATTATTATTATTATTATTATTATCTGTTGATTTCTATATAGGGAGAAAAATGGAACAACTCAGAGAAAAACCCTAGAATACAACGAGGGAGACAACAACACATCCAACAAACTTAACTCACATGTGGCATAGCAGAAAATAGAACTTGCAACCCCAGGCGTGAACTACACAGTGAAAGATAGTGCCGAAGCAGTGCATGTCAGCCATTGCAATGGCACACCACATCATGTGGTGAAATGTTTGGTGATTTCATTCCATTTACCAGTTCTTTCCTTATTTTTAAACGAAAAAAAACAAAAAACCATAACTTACGATCGATAAAATGCTGGATTGGCAGCATTTCTCTTCTTTTTCCATTCTTCATGATTCGTTATGGATACCAACCCGTTCTTCATGAATCTAGCACCAAACATGTCTGACAACATCTTCTGTAATGACTTTTGCTTGGGTAGATTGTATTTTATTATCACATCCTTATTAAAATGTAATGAAAATCAGTTATAATTTATAATAATAATAATTATTATATCATTATCATCATTAATAAAAACACAGTAGTCTATCAGCTTGCATAGGAGGGGCTGCGTGCAACCCTCCCCTAGATTTTCCCCTGTTGCAATACAGTATTATGTCAATGCGTTACTAATAAATCATCAATATACCTTGATAACATCCTTATGATATGCTACAACTCTTGGGTGCCAGAAAAACCAAATCAGATATAGTCCATCATATTCTAAAGACCTACAGAAGATTAAAACACATTTGTCAAAACTTTCATTCATTCATCCAATCATACATCTATTCATTTGTCCATCCTTCTGTGCATCCATCCATCCATCCATCCATCCATCCATTCATTCCATTTCTTCATTCATCATGAAAACAGTGTCAACAGTGTCCATCATGATTTATCTATTGATTTATTTGAGACCATTACTGTGTGCCCAAAAACAAATTCAAATGCAAATTTAGTTAACAGTACTAGGTTCTAGACTCTGGTTTCCCAGAGTCGCTTCAAGCATGCAGAGTAATTGACAGGGTACTGGGGTAGAGATAAACATAGCACTGCTGTGGTTAAATATAATGTCTAATCATGGGCGGATCCAGCCAAAATTTTAGGCGGGGGGGTTGGGGGGTGCTAATTAAGTTTATTCCATCAACACAACGGAAAACAATAAAAAAAGCATCTAATTCTTCAGTTATTTTTTGTTTTGCTTTTTCTGCTGAAAGGGGGCTTCAGCCCCCCTTTGCCCCCCCTGGATCCGCCCTTGCTAATAACCTTAGCCCTAAGGTGCCTATCAAGGTATACACCCCTTCTTCTACAGAGGGGATCAACTATCATACAAAAACCAAAAATATAACTTCTCTTCAATGGAACAAATATTGTGACCTTGACCTTGGTTTTTAAGTCTTTTTTATTTGGTAATGAAAATTTCGAATCAATAAAATACTGTACCACTTTTGAAACAATTCGACCAGTGTCCTTCCTTCCTGAACCTCTTTCTTCACGATTGGTAAATGACCATAGAAAAAGCTGGAAAAGAAGACCTCAATTACTCCATATACCAATACAATCACTAAATGTGTGCAATAGTTATCACTATTTAGCAGTAAATAGCACTAATCAAACGAAAGAAAACAATATAATTAGCATAAAATAACACTATTTAGTGATATTTATGTTGCACACTTTTAGTGTTTGTATTCTAGTACTAACTAATTAGTACAAAAAAGCACCAATGAAACAATCAAAAACAAAAGAAATAGATGTGTTTAGTGCTATTTTAGTTTTTGTGCTATTTCATGGACTATGGTATTCACTCGTATTTATTAGAGACAACTATACTTCTTTTATTATTTATAGTGTAATTTGTTGTGGTCAGCTGCACCATATAACAAATATGAATTACATTCACATGTCATTCCCATGTATACCTATAGTAGCCCGGGAGAGGGTATCATGAACACACACAAAACTTGCAGTTAACTACAGTACAAAGATGAATTTGCCGTATCGTTTTCCACTCATACGAAAACCGCTCTAATGGAAGTTTTAGATGAAAGTTTTTTGAATTATATAAACTAACCTTGGACGTGGAGGACCAGGTAGATGACTGTACTTTCGATGTAAAACATAGATATGAATAACAAAGCCAATAAAACCCAGAAGTAGAACTGAAAGGAGTGCAACTAACGCAAAACCTATGCTCCATGCAGACTCCATCATTTTGATGATTATATTTTGTCTGTTTTCGCTGAGTCACACACACACTGCTGGAAAAAAAAAACAATACAGACGGTCATGTGATAATTGTAACACAGGAGGCCCAATGCTTCGAGGAGACTGAAGAACGAGCTGCTAGAAGTTAGATAAGGTATAAAAAAATATATGCTATTTTGGAATTAGAATTAATTAAATTTTTTTTTTTTTACTATTATTGTTACTATTGTAACGCCAGTCGCGTGACGCGCGTGCAATATCGAAAAGGTTGATAAACTCGTTCACTGAAATCTGGGAAAATAATGATAGCATTAGATATTCTTTTGATATTTTTACATTAATGATGTCAAAAGAAAAAGAAAAAGAAAAAAATAAAATAAAAAAATAAAAAAAAAAAAAGAAAAGGAAAGAAAAGAAAAGAAAAGAAAAGGAAAATTTATGATATAAAATAGATCTGAAACATTTTCCCGCGGTTTTGACGGGTTTCCTGTGGATTCTGAGCCAGCGAATCCATTGCACAGCTTTACAACTAGTGCTTTATCATCACTGAAGTGCGCATAAAATCAAAAGAACGAGATTTTTTTTCAAATTCACAGTTTTTTCGAACTTTAAAACTTTAAATATCGGTGGGGAATAAGAATTGCGACCCTATTCAGTAATATTTTAAGTGGTTTGGTACAGGTATTATATTTAGAATCAATAGCAGTATAAATGTATATTAAAGTCACTGTTTGATGCTAAGCAGCCCGGTTACAGCGAGTTGTCTACCGTCTTTATCAAGAACAAAAGGTAAGAAAAAAACGTTTAGTGATGATATAACTTTTTTCTGAAGTTGCAAAATTGTGTTCTCCCGAAGGTATACTTTAGAGTAGAATTCACGGAAGGCGGGGACGGGGAGCTTTAGGTGACATCTAGACTCTTCATCTGCATTTGCATAAAGTGCATGGTGTCCACCTTGAAACTCAAGAAAACGAACAAACAAACAAAATAATAATTACAGTGTGTAAAGACAGGAAATCAGACTTTTATACACTCGAGATAAACCACTTTCTTTATATATCATCAGTTCTTGCATTTCATTCCTGACCGGAAACGCGTTATCCCTTGAGTACCATTTCCTTCTTTACACATTAAACTTACACTGTATCATGCCCTATTTAGATTAGAAAAAATTCTTAAAACATTTAAATGTGAATTATTGATATAAAAAAGTTATAGTTTTATCAGAATTTGAGATTTGTGGATTATTGGGTTGCCTGTGTTTTGGTGACTTTTTTGGGCGGGAAATGCATAGTGGCGCGCGCGCGACAATGCTTATAAAAAAAGCGCGGGAAAATAGTCAGTAAATGTTTTTTTTAATATTTCATTTTAATTATAAATTTAATTAAAATTTCCTTTTTATTATATATTTCTAAAAAGGATTTGGCAAACAGCAGCAGCAGTTAAGGTTTTTTTCATTAAATTGTTTAAATTTCATTTAAAAGATCATCAATTTAATAGGTTTTTTTCAAAACAGATCAATGTTTTTCTGAAAGCAGGTCAGTGATTAAAATACTCATTTGCACTTTAAAAGTTTTTATTCCATATAATCGCACTAAAGCATTAAAGTGTTTACAAAAAGCATTTATTGCTATCAATTGTATTGGTAAACCACATAATTTAAGGCTGCAGGTTTTTTCTAGTAAATTTTATTACTTTCAGCAGAAAGGAAAAATAAACTGTCTCATTCATGTGAAGTTTCTGTTTCAGTTATATATGATTGTTTTATCTTTCTTTCAACCAGAAAACTGTTATAGCGTTCCCTTTACAGAATAGACCAGAACTGTTCTGATTTTTCTTCAGTCGCCAATAAAGAACTTCCTTCCTTCCTTTACTTCACTTAGTCTCTAATAGAAGATTTTAACATCATTTTATCTATATACATTATTATATTTTTGTTTTCTTTCTATTCCTTTTGTTAATTAGTTATTTTCCCTATGGAAATAATTTGAAAAATAATTTTTGCGATTTTTCAAAAAAATTAAAATAAAGTCTCGCCTTTTTAAAAGTAGTATATAATAATAATAATAATAATAATAATAATAATAGAATGATGATGATGATGATAATAATAATAATAATAATAATACATTTTTATATTTGTTAACATACATCAAGAAAAGAGATATTTTTTTATTTCTTGGTAGTTCGTCATCTGTGCGAAAAGTCTGATCTATTCGCAGAAGATCGAAAAGGCATAGATTGTAGTTTAATTCTTCGTTGCCCAATTCTTGGCGAAAAGCGTCCGCAAAGCAGTTTTGAAATGAGATACTGGAATGTTCTTCGAATAGCGTTATTTCGAAATGCGTATAAAAAGGGGTTGATTGAGCTGTTGCTATAATGCATCCACTTAGCAAACTTTAGTAGTCTGTCTGTCGTTATCATCGAAGGCAAAGATGATGGATAATAAGTAGCAACGATGGTCAAAACAAACAAGGGAAGCCATGCAATGACGAAAAGTAAAGTTATAAAAGCTATTGTTACAGAGAGACGTATTTCTTTTCGATACGCCCTGCTTCGTGTAGTATTCCGGAGTAGTCTCTGACTTGGTCTTTTAACTCTTGCAAACATAAAAATGAAAATATAAGCTAACATAATGACAGAAAAAGGGACGAGAAAACACGTTGTTACCATCAAAAGGGTGTAAACCTCTTGCCACCGGCGATACTGTAGCGGTTGGAGCGACGCCACGAGCGAAGAAATTACCCAAGGTGTTAACAGAAGGGTTCGAAATGTCTTTTTAGGAAGCGTTCGATGCCTTAATGGACGAACAATAGCATGACAGCGCTCGATACTTATGGAAGTTAGCTGTAAAATTGATGCAGATCCAACGAAGATATCGAATGTGATGTAGAACTGGTACAATCCATCGCTGTAGTACTCGCCTTGAGCTGATTTGACTGAAATAAATATCCAAAGAGGAACTGATATGATTCCTACGAGAATATCACTTAAGGCCAGCCCCAGAATCAGTTTATTAGTAGTGGTCCTGAGCTTGTGGTTGACAAAGAATGCTGCAAAAATCAACCCATTTCCAATGACAATTCCAATCATCAATACAACGTAAAATGCAGTAACTGCACAAAGTTCTCGCTTCGACATTTCAGGATGCATAACAGAAAAATTCACGCACGAGCTGCTATTGAAGTTGTCTTCTGTTTTTTCCATTAAAATGATGTTTTTTTCCACAAATGGAGCTCTTCAGCTTCAAGAGCGAGAAAATTTGAGGAGCATGAAAACGACACACAGCTCTTGTCCAATCAGTGCTTGGTAGAAGATAAGATGGTTGTTCTTGCAGCTCGCTTTTAGTTCTTCATTTAAATTAGATTTCGTATTCTGCAATTAAGGAAATAAAAAACTCCCGTTATCCTAATGATATCGCTGACTGGAATGTTCTTCCATACAATTAAAACTTGTTTATTTGCTGTAAAGCAAATAAGCTAGAAAACGATCACAATCTCAAGGGGCACAATCAACGTATATAGAAATGAAGATAGCTATCAAAAAGCCACTAAACGGCCTCCTAGACGCAATTGAACAGTTTTTCATGTGGAGTGCAATTAAGGTTAAAAAATACTGGTTAAAGGAAGGTCATCCGCTGACGAATTTAATACTCTATTGGCATATTTGATATTAAATTTCTTCGGTTTTCGTAGCTATGGAAACATCTGAATTCAATGAGACTGATATCTCGATTAAGAACAAAACGTTTTTTGCACCGCGATATGTGCACCGCTACAATGATCAGAAAATATGAAATAGTCATTCTAATAAATTAGAACAAAGTAGCCACAAATGAAAAAAATCTTTCACAGGCTTGATTAGTTTACCATGCTTTTTCATTAGACACCTGTTATTTCCATTTAGTTGGCCATGATATAAAATATATATATAACTCCACGATGTTTTGCCGGTTTTATGACCAGGCTACCTAAAGAAATGTTTTTCAGTAATAGCTAATCTTTTTTCTGAGATAAACAAATATATAATTCGACTTCTTTCTCTGCATTATTTTGGTCGTATAACTTACCTACCTTACGAAATAAATGACATTTATAATGAACAAGAAATCTTTGAAAAAGCTTTGGTTTGTGAGATGAGAAAAAACACATTTACTCCAAGACAATTTCTTTTTGCAACCTACCTCACGAAATGAGCAGCTCTAATTACTGAAAATGTTAAAAAAAACTATCTTTTTAGCTAAAGATTAACATCTTAATACTTAAAGAGACTCCGAACGGTTATCATTATTGATGAGTTGGGCAAAATCTACGTAGGATGATAAAGGATTGGCTAAATTCTCATTCTCAAATAAATGGCTTCCATTTGGCCTCTCCTGGAGACTTCGAAGAGGCATTTGGTGGCTCCCGCTGAACCGAGTGCCGTGCACATCAACTAATTACAAGACGTTTTAATTTTCGACCATTGCAGTGTGATGAAAATGTTCAAAGCACTATAAAATGCTTTTAATTTTACCTGTTCATTTGAATTTTTTCCAGAGGGATTGAAAACGAAATCGATAATTAAAATCGCATTTGAGCAAGAGTTGGAAGCCGGAAAAAATGAGGAAACATGGTCTTGAACTTTGATTCCGTAGTTGTCCAAAACAATTCTAGTTTTTCAGCAGTGCCGTGCCAGGCAAAAACCGGCTGAATTGGACAAATAAAACCATAACAGAAGCCTACAGAAAGCATACAGAATCCTCCATGGTCATCGGACAGGATGTTTAACGTTCTCTATTGTCTATCATATCAATTTCCTAATTAAGGTGGCTGACTACTTTGGTAAACATTAGACAGAAAATTGAAATCGAAACTTCTTAAACCTGAAATTTAATGCTGATTTCAAAAATGCAAAGAAAAATGGGGTAATCCGAGCTTTTTTTTGATATAAACACTCCGGAATGACATGCGTTTGTACAATTTTGGAAGAAATATAGCGAAAATCAAGCTCTGTACAAAAAAAATTATAAAACCGAATTAACTTAGGAAGAAACATGAGTAATTTTCTCCTAACACGTAACCTACACTATATTTATAAAGTACTGATAAAAGTTGTTTTAATAAACTATTGTAGACAATGAAAAAACCTTTTTTCGTTCAGGTTCTACGGCGTGTAAGTTATCGTAAAAATTGAGCACAAAACACACATAACGATTTTTTACATGGTTCTAATAAACAGAATCGAGAATATCGAGAATATCTCCTAAGATCGGATTGGAATCTAGAAGTTGATTTTTGCGATCGATTATAAGTGTAGACTTCCGCTCATTTTCCTGTTCATGTTCGTTTTCCTTTTCTGTTTTTTCCTTTTATTTTCTTTCTCTTGAGTTCAAACGATAAAAAACTGAACGAAACTTCTGGTTGTCGAAATATTCGTTTTTGCCACTATTGTAAATTGTCTCGCTTTCTGATTGGTCTAGAGCCGGGGGATATAGGAGGACTTGCCGATAAATTACGTCAGCAAATTACGTGTCATCTTCGTCATCTAGCCGTCAAAATATGTTGTGGACTCCCTTGGCTACGCCTCGTGAGTCCACAACATTTTGACGGCTAGATGATGAAAATCGTGGTAAATAAGGACATACCTCGGAAAACTGGAGGAAATTGGTTAAGTTTTGTATAGCAGCTGACAGCAAAGTTTTGTTAATATATTGGTTGGGAATGGCCACAGTAAAGAAAAAAATCAAATTAAACAGGGGAAAAAACAACAACAACAACAACAANAAACTATGTATGTAGAATATAAAACTTGAATGCTGAAGTTCAAAACTTGAGCGTAAAATTCGAAATTTGAATGTCGAGTGTAAAATTTGTATGTTGAATTTGAAACTTGAATGTCAAATTCAAAGCACGAATTTTGGCGGGGATCGTACGCCATAGATCGGCGGCTATTTTTGATCTCAATTGGTTAGTACGTGGAAAGCCCTAGTTTCGCAAAAAATCCAAGCCAATATAAACTCAAGATGAAGTCTGAAGTCTTAAGCCACTTTAAAGACGGTACAATTACGCACAAGGAAGATCGTCTCAGTGTCGGAAGTAAATATCCCCTAATGAATATTTCTTCCCTATAGTATTTCAAATGCGGTGCGATATATTGAAAGCTTTCTTCTTATGAGGGAATTGATGGCATATACTATAAAGGCAAATAGCACTTATTTCATTAAAGCACACACAAAAAAACTTCAATATAAGCCACCTCAAAGCAATTTCGTGATTGAACTACGGCCGTTTTATGTTGTTAATTTAGGTACTTAATGAATTGAAGTCCTCTAATCCTATTAAGAAAATGGCTTCCAGATAAATCCAGAGTGAGGTTGGCGCTGGTCCGCAATCACAAGGCGTCGCCGATGTGTCGCCTCCATGCAGTTTTATAGGTCTTTTCTTTCGTTTCAGCCCCCAAACAGTGAGGGGGAAAAACGTTTTTCGAGCAACGAATTTTCTTGGCGCCTCTTCGAGTGAGCTCTAGTATTTCAGTTCTCTCTTCCAGGCGCCTTAAGGCACGCAGTATTTTGGTTACAAAAACAAAAACAAAAAACGAAAAACAAAAAACAAAAAACAAAAAAAAAAAAAAAAAAAACAAACAAAACCAGAAACGAAGAGAGAAAAAGTTATAAGAAAGAAAAAGAAGGAAAGACTGAACTGGAATGGATTTTAATGAAAGGAAGAGAAAGAGAGTAATAAATTAAAATAATATTCAAATAAAGAAAAATGGAATAATAGGGATAAAAAAGAAAGGATCAAGGGCGGATCCGGACGGAGGAAACTCAATTAGCCCCCCCTAAACTCACTTACCCCCCCCCCTAAAATTTTGGCTTGATCCGCCCTTGAGGATGGACTGTATTTGATAAATAGAATAAAATTCAAGATGGCCGCCGTATCGGTAAAAAGGTCTGTTATAAAAGATGCGATGCGTGTTTCTTCAAGCCGATATTTTTTTCGAAGAAAAGAAATTTTTTTGTCCGGGAAAAATATGCCGTTGAAGAAACAAATCGCATGTTTAATAATTATTCAAGCAGCAAAACACTTTAATAGGTCTATCATAGTTCGTTGATAGCGTGTGCGTCTGACGGCGCAGCACGCACACCTTTTAATTAAAGTACCTCAGCACTCCCACATGAGTAATCATGACGAATATCATATTATATTGTGAATTTTAACTATCAAAATCGCCAAGAAGTTGTTTTGTTTTTGCTTTGTTTGTTTGTTTTTTTGTTTTTTTGTCTTGTTTTTTTTTGGGAATATTTACCTCGCCGCTGCTTGAAGACACGCGTCTCGGTAAATATTCCCCGAATTTCATTTCGCCTTCGGAGAATAATTGTTTAATATGGTTTAATAATATTTCACTATGACGTCACTGCTTGTTTATGTGGGGGATAGAATCGCCAAACCAATAGAAAATTCAACAATAGCTCCTAGCGAAACAGCTTAATCTAAAATGGCCTGATTTTCAGATATAATATGTGTTAATATGTACTAAAAGATATTCTGAGCGTTTGCTGGCTATTCTACTTCTCTTCATGGATTCATACTGGTTTTAGAACAATTTTCGGTGAATTTGCGTTGATTTGACCCCGTCCGACGACCATGATCCTTTGCGTTTAAACAATAGACTGTTAAAGATTGTTTTGATGTGACGGCATAGTAAATTAGGGCAATTCCTAATGCCCTTCAGGATAGATATATTGCCTATCTGCCCACACACATGCAAATATCGCGCATATAACCCTGTGGACGTAAAAGATCCACTGAAGACGCTGGTGACGACCATCTTCAGTGCCCGTGCTAAACAGGGCCCACTGTAATTGGCTATGCTGTTGTGGTGTCCCTGCTCTCATGGGAAAAATATCACAAATCATAAATAAATCATAAATCATATCGAGCAGATTATATAGATATATAGTCCTTTTAATTTACTGATACGGCGGCCATTTTGAATTATGGGATGTCTATATCAATTTATTCACCCATTCATTCACTCATTTGTTTACTGCATTCCCCACACGCCACATTCTCCCTGTGATTTATTACGCGATGCGTCATTCTCTTTAGGCGGTAGTATTATGGTTTTATTGAAAGGAAGCACTTATTTTGAGAGATGGCACCCACTAGACCTTATTACGTTCAGTTGGGCGTAATGTTTCCCATGACACGTGGTCTAAAATGAGGTAGGTACCATCGATTTCAAAAATTGCCCACGGACATCTAGTCTCCTACGCAGCTGCTATTAGTGTGGTCATGCCACGCTCACTCCCCTAAGTAGGGGAGTGATCGTTGCGTGACGAAACTAATAGCGGCTGCGTAGGAGACTAACGGACACCAAGCTAAGCACGGGCTTACTACTCACGCCCACGGGTCAAATTAAACAATCTATATCCCTGGAATATTTCCGCAAAATCTTCTGGAGGATTTAACTCGAAGCTTAAAGTGTCATAATCCATCAATTGAAATTAATCCGAGAGACGGAAATGTTTTCACTATTTCAAATTTTGGCCAAATGTTATGGCGATAAAGCCGTCACAAAAGATGATTCCATTTTCTCAATTGACCTAACTCTTTAATGTCCATCGTTTGTTGGGGAGTCAATTTGAAACTTGATATTCTAGACAGAATAAACTTATGACATTCGATCAATAAGCGATAATCACTTGGAAGAAAACTAGAAATTGAAGCTAGAAAAAGTATGACAAAAAGCTTACTTTAAACTCTGTTAGTTATTGCTTGTATGGTTCGAGTGTCATCACTGTAAAAGAGATTCGATCGGAACTTTTTTTCATGGGTTGCAATTGAGGGACACTTTTATGAGTTCGTGCCGCCTCAGGAAAGCCATTTGTATGTTGAAAACCTCACTGTGTGGTGTGTGTGGGAGAGCTCTGACCGGGATGGAAGAAAGTTAAGCCGAAGAGCCGTTTCACTGAGCTGGAATGATTGAACAGCCTTTTTCTAATTATATTCCTCGCTTCCTCTTTATGACGTAATAATATTGATATTTAAAAATGACGTCACATCAATGCAATCATTCTAATCATTCATGAATCATTACAAAATTTATTCTGAATTAAGGAAAAGGAATTTCAGCGAACGAAATCTAATTTCGTGAGATTACAAACAAATCAAAAAAAGAGGGTAAATGGAAAATGGGAAAGAAAGAAAGAAACAAAAGAAAGAAAGAGAGAAAGAAAGCGGGAAGGAAGGAAGGAAGAAAGACAGCAAGAAAGAAAAAAAAAAAAAAAGAAAGAAAGAAAAGTTAAAACCAAAAAAAGTCATAGAATAAGAGTTCTATGTTATGATTCAATTTAAATAATTATATCAAAAACGAAGTCAAATTTTCGTTTTTCTTTCTCGGGCTATTTTGATTTTTCGAGTGAAAGCTGCTGATTTCTTCAAAACATTAGACACCACCAATCGATAGTGTGCTTTAGATTAGTATAGTATTATCAGGATTTTTTGTAAGTTATCGTTTAAAAAAAGCAATTTGAAAAAGCCATATGTCGGCGTAAATCCACGGTTGAGATGCGTCATTTTTGGTGAAAACGTCCCTCAATATTTATAATTAAAACATTTGACGGTATAACATCGAATACAATTTTTCCTTATCATAGCATTCGTAGTAAGATGTGGATATTTCTCGTGTAATTTGCGGTATCAAACCACACATATACGATACCGTTAGCAGACTGTTACAAAATTTTACGACTGTACTATATATATTAATTCGGGGACTGCGTAACTCGAGTTCCAATGTATCAAGAATTGTACATACGAAGCATTAGATAAGTACAAGAGGTGCATATCGGTCAAAAATTTCACAAGTAAATTGAACGCTAGTAAGATTTTACGTACCAAATCTTGGAGTACTTAACGGAAGAGGCTGCAGGCGAAGCTTTTCTTGCTTCTTGAGTCTTAAACCAACAGACCAAAACTTAGTTCTAATGATTTCGGTATCTTTTCTATTCTGGACGAGTGGCTTAAGTGGTATTTGCAGCTTTACTACTTACAGGTCAGAACTATTAATTAGCCTAGTCACTAAGTTCCGTCAATTTATGCATCAATTTTAAAAACAAAAACCAATTTGAACTATTTCGAAATCCAAATTACCAATTCGTCTCCCAAATAAAAAGCCGTGAAATTCTAAATTAAATACATTCAATTCATAGATCTAAGGAACAAAGATTTTTGGAAAATTGAAAAGTTAATTTGACGGGAAAAGATTACTGCTTTCGGGATTTTCACTTACCCGAAGCTGTGAAACCGCTGGAGATTCTTCATCTGCAATTAAGATCCTTGTGAAAAAACCGTCTTTAAAAAACATCTAATTGAAGTTATAATTTTGAATCCCAAAATAAAATAAATTGGATATGTTGCTTTAGTAAATTTTAGAGTAATCTGGTGCATATTGGAAAATACAGCTATTCAATTTGAAATGTTGTTTGTAAATTCAAAAAGGAATTACCAAGAAGCATGATTTATTTTAGCACGATAAGGCCAATTTTAATCCTTTTGGCTGGAAAATTAGATTTTCATGGATTGATAGGTTTAATCAGATGCAAAAACAAATATCTAAACTATTGTTGTCGGGCGGGAAGAGTGAGTAAGATAGATTGCCAAGTACTTGAATAAGGAAAACATTTCTTGGGAAGAAAGTTCTAGGTGATCTAGCTTCTACAACTTTTAGCTAAGACAAGACAAGAGAACAGAACAGAACAGAACAGAAGACAAGAGAACAGAACAGAACAGAACAGAGAATAAATTATTATAAATTATTATAAATAATAAGCAGATAAATAAATGAATAGATATGAACACTACAGTGCCTATTATATAGTTATTCTAGATTGCGCTTATTCGCGATTGCGCATTAAAGATTATCGGCGTTTTAAAAAGATATTTCGGGGATTTTCCAAGTTGCTATAGATATGCACGGGGGATTTAAAGCAAATATGTGCAGAAATAATCTAATTGATTCGTGTGTATTGCAAGAAAAGCTAGAAAGAGAAGGGCTTTTTTACAGAAAAAAGATAGAAACATCATAGGAGCATAGTCTTATCCAATTTACTATGGGAAAGCAAAGTCCAAATAGCATAGTGTAGAGTTCTTTATTAAACACCGTATGGCGCCATTGAGATAAATTTGATGAGTTCTCGTCTCAACAATTATAAAGAAAAATTATATCCACCATCGTAAAGTGTTTTTTTAAACCGAAAATGTAAATTTTCTCGCTTTCTGATTGGTCGGGAGCCGTGGTAAATAAGAGGACATAGCAACAGATTGCGTCAACAAATTACGAATCGCTCGCGCACGGAGCCAGTGCGTGAAGAAACCGTTTTTCTTTCAACGAACTTTATTGCTTTTTTTCTAACAGTAAAAAAAAAAAAAAAAAAATTCGATTGATTCAATAGCTGACTTGATATTAATCTTTTCTTACAACTGATGATAACAGACGTTTATGTAATGCATTCCTATCGAATCTTGACAGGTGAAGACAGTGCAGCTTGAAGTGTTCTGTTAAGAGAAGTGAAGCAATGTGGGATTACGTTTTGTCATAAGAGGCTGGGGGACTGTCTAAACAATACTGATCACTGTGGAACATGATCAGCTAGGACTCTAAGATCTCCCGTTTTCTTAGTCAACGTGGGTGGGTTGTCTGTGGGTTGAATATTAGAGTATTTTAATTAAATTTCATCAATCAAAGCAATGATTTTAATAACTTCATGGCTGTTTATGTTGAAAAAATTAACTACGCGATCTTGGAGCTGTGACTGAGTTAATAGCACGTTTGCATGATGGCGTCATTTGACTCCCACTACCAAAATGCTTGGCGAATTTTCTTTCTTATTCAAATTTTTATTCCCTCATGAGAATAGTAAGACAATTGGTGCTGATTAACTGAACAAAAGAAAGTGTGTAAGGGATTCTGGTAGTAGAGGTCAATGACGCCATCCTGCAAATGTCCTATTGATAACCAAATGATATGGTCTGTTCCGACACTAGAAAAAAAAAAAAGTTTGCGCATGCGTGCCTTTCAGCACATTTTTTGAGAATTTAGAAGAAAAAATGTTCGTTTTCTCCAAGTATACAAAACATTTTGCGAGTATACTTTTGTGAGACCAAGACACTGCATTAACGAACACAATATGAAAGAAATAGCCTTAATTTACGAACATGGACATTTAGTTATGGAATTGTAGTCAAATTTAAAGACATTTTGACCGCATACAATCTCGTACCCAGAGCCTGCGTTTTTTCTGGCCTGCAACGAAAAACGATTTTTTTGAGACCAGGCTTTCCTGGACTTCCGGTATAAGAGCGCATGCGTTCGAAGACTTAAAATAAAATAAAAAATATGTTTCCGATTTCTAATTTTCCTTTTGATCGGAAATAAACACACAACTCTGTTTGAAAGCATGATTTTCATTGATTATATTTAACTTTCGAAAAATTGCGCATGCGCCAAAATTGGATTATGCAAGAGCCCTTGTTCTTCGCCGTAGGCCAGAAGAAACGCAGGCTATGGGTACGAGATTGGACTGCATTCGGATTTAGAGCATGCGCAGACGTTTTTCACTCGTGTCGTCAGGTCCTACACAAAGGCGTTAGGTTAGCGAGAGTACAAGAGTTGATAATTAATGCTTTTTCAAGTCTAAACATTTTGTTGGTAAATCCAAATAAATTATATAAAATAATGGCGAATCAGTTTCATCAAACTTATTTTATGGGTTCCCTGTGTTAGACTACTTCGTTACAAATATTTCCCATCAATCAATGCTGTCACAAAATGACGTCACAATGGGAAGAAAATCAACGAAATTTTCTGAAAGTTCAAACAGAAGTCAGAAAATTTCGGATTTCAATGATAGCTTTTTTAATCAACAAAAACAACCCAAGAGAAACTAAGGAAAACTATTAAAGGGCCGTATAAATGCTGATCATCGTGGTAACAGGAATGAAACTGGTGTTTTCGCTGCATTTGAAAATCATCAATTAGAGTGAAAACCAAACGGCAGATCGTTGATGAAGGTAAGCCGGCTAAACTATACCTCAATCGTATTCTTTTCTCTGCAATTCAAGATAAATAATATACTAATTCTTTCCACAGGATTGCCGAATATTACCAATGGGAATATCAGATAAACACGATGAAGATGAAGAAGGAGAAAACAAAGAGCTGGAGATCAAAGATCTTAGTAAAACTCGCGAACGATGGGACAGGAAAGTTGAGTTCCTTTTTGCATGCGTTGGGTTTGCAGTGGGCTATGGAAATGTCTGGAGATTTCCTTATCTGTGCTTTAAAAATGGTGGAGGTAATACTGGAATTCGTATATATATCGTGTAGTATTTATGAAATGAAAAAAATAAGGCGTTCAAAAGCGTATCTTCAGCCTTTTTCAAATTTTTAGATTAGTACTTGAAAAGTTTTAAGTATTCAAATTTATACTAATAAAGTCACAAAAAAAGGTTAAATTAAAATCTCTACATTCAGAATAAATAAAAATACGAACTTTTGAACGAAAACAAAAATTAAGTTACTTATTCCTTTTGTGTAAATACAGACTTTTTCTTTAAAGTTTATCGACTTTGTATTTATTCAATTTATTGTGATTATCATTTAATTTATGAAAAACGGTTATCTTTTTAGGTGCCTTTCTCATTCCTTACATTCTCTTCCTATTCTTGGGAGGCGTGCCTCTTTTCTTCTTGGAGCTCAGCGTTGGTCAGCTTTGCCAGGAAGGACCGATCAAAGCCTGGCAAAAAATCTGTCCACTGCTATCCGGTATGTAAAAGTTATGCGTTAAGAGTCATTGGAAAAACTTTTTTAGTTAGTGGAGGAAGAAAAACCTGAGAAAAAGCAGAAAAACAAAAATATCTAAGAAAAAACAAAAGATATGTAAGGAAAATAACACGAAAAATAAGACTCACATATGGCGAGAGTTGAACCAAAAACACTCCTCCCACCTCCACCCCATGGGAACTGTAATAGTTGAGTCTTGTACATTACTTTAGCGATCCAAAACGACCAGTTATATAAACATTTGTCTTGTAAAAGACCCCTTGCATGTGACGTCAAATCAGCTCGATCTGGGGGACAAAAAAAAAAAACAAAAAAAAAACAAAACAAAACAACAACAAAAAAAAGAACTCCTATCTCCTGAGAATATTGGAGCCTATAGTTTTGTCCCCCATATTGAGCTGTTTTCACCTATCTCTTCAGGTATTGGCTTTGCGATGATAACGATATCGTTCTTGGTGTCCATCTACTACAATATTATCCTGGCGTGGAGTATATACTACCTGTACAGCTCTTTCCTGACTGACATCCCTTGGGTAGGATGTCATCACCCATGGAACACGCCGGAATGCTACCAGTGGAACGCTACTGGAACGAATATGACTGGGGTATCACCAAGTAGGCAGTTCTTGATGTAAGTTGTGTGTCCCAGTGGCGGATCCAGGGGAGGGGTGCAGGGGACGCGCACCCCTCCCTGGTTCGACTATGAGCCCCTACTTCAAAGATTTAACCAATACAAAATAATGCTTTTTCCTTTTGATTCTAAGGGGTGCACCCCTCCCTGGGTTAAATATGTGCGCTGCACCCCTCCCTAAACAAATTCCTGGATCCGCCCCTGTGTCTCAATTTAAAATGGAAATCGAAACATCTTCACAAGAATATGTAGTTACTTACTAGTTTAAGAATGCTAGTCAACTACAATGCATTGCGCATATATTTTTGTTTTCGTCGTTCGCCCAACTCTTCCTAGTCCAGACATTTGCCCCTCCATTGACCGCTTCGCTTTTGTTGGGGTGAGTACATGCATCCCAACAAGAGCGGAGCAGTCGAAGAAATAGCAAGAAAATTATCAAGCAATTTTAAAATTACAGAAAAAAACCCGCAATTGTTTTTAATGGTTCTCTTTTATACAGCCATAATGTACTTGAAATCACAAGTAGCATCGATCAACCGGGCTCCCTGAACGTCAAGCTAACAGTGTGTCTTCTAATAGCCTGGGTTCTAGTCTATTTCTGCATTTGGCGAGGCATCAGAACGACAGGGAAGGTGGTTTACGTCACGGCTACTCTACCATACGTCATCCTAGTGATCTTATTGGTGAAGGGGCTGACGCTTCCTGGAGCAGCCAATGGGGTTCTTTATTACGTCACTCCTCAGTGGCACAGGCTGAAGGATCCAGCGGTAATCATGACAACGAATGTCTTTAATATTGATGATCACTGTCAAAAGTATTCTACGTAATGTCCTGTGCCATGGTCGTGGCTTGCGTCTGAATCTGAAATAGATAAGCGATGCCATCCCATGATTTAATCTATTTTTGTCGGTCCGTTATTCTTAAAATCGTACGATGTGATTGCCTGCTTGAGCGGGTGGTATTTTCTATCTCCGGGTAAGAAAAAACTGTGCCCTCGGTCTTGAGATTGGAGCTTGGCTTAATGACTGCCTCGGTCCATATATTCAAGACCTCGGGAACATTTTTTCCCTATCTGGACCTCATGGCCAGTAAATAACCTCTCTCTATATTTTTAAGCATATTTAGTTTTAGAGCAAGATCAAAAAACACATATTATGATTATACGTATATAGCCAACTTTGTTAAATCGTACACTATGCATTCGCTATGCTGAACAGGTTTGGATAGATGCCGCGTCACAAATACTCTACTCTTTGACCATTGGTTTCGGTGTTATCATAGCTTTCGCAAGCTACAACAAGCCAAATAATAACATCTATAAGTGAGTAAGAGCTTTCTTCTCTTTAGAATTAAAAAACTTTTTAAATGTAGTTGTTTTATTATCTTTATACCTTCTGTTAACCGTTTAACATATAGAGCGGTTTAATGTCTGTAGGCAAAGTATCTGTAGGCTCTACCCCCAAAAACTGTTGTTCAAACTGATGCCTAGGGTGCTTGACAGTTACCCGGAAAACCCGGAAATTCCAGTTGGAAAAACAAACGGTACGCATTTTCGATCGGAAAGTTCCAGAAAAATCGGTCTTCCGATTGAAGTAGTCCAGTTTTCCCGCCATTTCGGTTCTTTCGGTAGACGCGTGCACTGTACCATTTTTCGAAAATCGAAGTTTCCCGCTCTTTTCTTTCCATTAGCGAATGATTTTCCAACCGGATAGATTTGAATGTTAAGCACCCCTAATCCTCCATCTTATCCTCCATTTTCCACAGGGATGCTTTAACGATTTCCATCGTCAACTGTTTGACCAGTGCCTTGGCTGGGTTCGTAATCTTCACCATTGTTGGATACATGGCACATGTGCAGAACAAGACAGTCTCAGAAGTAGCGTCTCAAGGTGAGCGTTTCTATTTGTTTACTAGTGTTAAAAATAAGAATGGTTTGCGCTGCTAGTAAGGCGCCTCTGGATCCATTCTCACTTGTCAACCAAGCTGTTTATTAGCCATTCCGAGTTAGCATTTCCTTGTATCGTGGGGTAGTTAGTTTAAGGGGACAAAACAGACACCATCTTGGAAACCCGTCCCCTAAACGAATGGTATTGATTTTGTACCAGGGCCAGGTCTAGTGTTCATTGTCTACCCAGCAGCCCTTGCGCAGTTACCAGTCCCACACGTCTGGGGTGTTATATTCTTTCTGATGTTGATAGCTCTTGGACTTGACAGTCAGGTACGTTTAACATATAAATCGAGTCAGCGCTTAATCGTGGTTTATAGTTATAGTTATAATGCCTATAATTTCGGTGAAAAAAAAATCAGCTACAAAGTGCAGAGGATAAACTCATTTCTTGATGGTTGAAAAACTGCGCACTCTAATCTATCAACCAATGCCTAAGGTATGTTTTTATATTATGTAGAACGTCTCTAATGCTTATACTAAAGTGTTAACCCTGAAAAGCTCGACCAATTTACGTGCGAGATCGACGCATGCGCAGACGTTTCCAGCCCTCATAAGTGGATTAGTAAATTGTAAAAGACCGCATGGGGTCCCTGTGGCAACCTAATTTGATATCTTTTCTACCTAGTTTGGCCAAGTAGAGGTTGTAAGCGCAGCTATCATTGAATACTACCATGTGTATTTGTACCGTTACCGTGAACTTGTGGTTCTCGTGCTCTGTGTTGTGACATTCCTACTGGGACTGTCTTGTGTAACTCAGGTAAGTTTTTTAATAGAGCTTCCATCCAGTTTTGGGTGCACGAAAGAAGCTTAAGAGTCGCATGAGGCGTAGTGGAGTGCAGTGCGGTTCGAGCTTCTTGAGTGCTTAAGCAACCGACCAAATGCACCCAAAATTCGATGGAAGCACGCTAAGCAATGACCAAAGCTTTTATGACATAGCAAAACCGTGGAAATATCTTTAAGAAAAACACTCTCAACGAAATTTCCGTCACATAGCGCGCTCTTCTCAACACTTCAGCGTGCACCATCGATTTTTTTGATACACGTTCGGGTAATAACCAATCACAGCGCGCGTTATATCGTAACTATGTTATAACCTTTATTAGTCTACCACTATTTCACTGTCTGAGGAAAATCAGTATGACTTTTGGTAGTTGCGCGCTCGCAAGCGTGACATCATTGCAGTGACCATGGCTTGAAATCAAACTTTGTAGCCGTTGTCTCCTTCATTAGGAGTTCTTTTGGAAGTTTCGTAGATGAAAACCAAGTGTACATCAGAAGAAAAAGTTGGTTTTCTTTATATGAAAGCCACCCCTTCTCCTAAAATATATACATTCTGGTCCATGCACCTGTTTATTTTAATACTTTTCTATGTTTTTCAGGGTGGGATGTACGTATTCAACCTGTTTGACTCGTTTTCTTGTAGTTTATCCCTTTTATTTCTGGTCTTCCTTGAACTGATTGTTATTGGCTGGATCTACGGTAAGACTGGGACCGGTTGTACGAACAGTGGATAGCGCTATCCTTATGCAGTGGATAAGTTGATGCTGTTATCCAATAAATGTATCCCCATGGATTATATTTATCCGTCGGTAACGCTATCCACCCTTCGTACAACTGGGCCCAGGTGATTAAAATAAATTTGCTAAGGCATCGCTATTAATATTCCAAGATTTTACCTTGCAGTGCTGTGTGCAGTTATAAAGCACGCGGGGATTGGCCGAACACGATAAGAGAAGCGCAACGCATAGTCTAACTGCACACAGCACAGCAAGTTATTCATTCCTTTTACAAAATACAAACTAGAATAGCCGCTATTCGTTATTTCGAATACGAAAAACAAAATGGAAAGTGCGCACTCGTGCACTATGTGCTCAGTGAAGCACGTGCGCCCAACCAATCAGAGAGTTTTGTAACAGTTACTTCATAACTCTTCGATAGATTTGCACATTAATGTTATTTGTAGTTCTTGTTTAAATAAATAAATAGATATATATACATTTCTTTCTTTCACACACTGGAATAAAGGTGCCCAAAGGTTTGCAAATGATATCGAAGACATGACTGGTCACCCTGTGTCTTTCTGGTGGGTCGTTTGCTGGAAGTTCATTTCACCTTTAATGGTTTTTGTAAGTTGAACTAGTGACATTTTTTCTCTTTCAGGGATGGGAAGTGGGATGGGAAAGGATGTGGAAAGTCGTTCCGTCATCTTCCACGGTCACATTAATGTATACACCACAGGAAGCCCATCAAAGAAACAAACGAGAAAAATCCCAAACTAGAAACTTGTCTCACAAATAAACGGTTCTTCTTATGCTTTCAAAATTTATTCCTTTATCATACTGACTCAGTTATATATTTTTGGGGGCCGACTAATCTTTTTTTATTCTAGACCATTTTCATCATCAACTTGGTTCAATACAAGATGATAACATACGAGGGTGAGTCCTACCCCACTTGGGCAGAGGCCTTGGGGTGGTTAATAACCTTGGCTTCTATAATATGGGTTCCCTGTGTTGCAGTGTACAAGATCCTGACAAGCAACAGATCCCTTTTGCAGGTCAGTGAAATTTATGAAGAACATTTTTTTAAAAAGTAAAAGAAGATTTTAAAGATTTTTATTGCTAGAATAATAGCCCGTTGAATCCTATCTCCGTCCCCTCCCCTCCCCCAGGGAGGGATGACAGGAGCTGTACACAAGTAACAATAATGACCCATCCAATATTTTCTCCACAGCATCTTTCAAGCGAATCAGTAAGAAAGGCTTCAGGATGGGACAATACTGAATCTGACTACAAACACCCAGTAATATCAAATACAGACATTTGTAATGCCGAAGGGATGGATCTATAATGTGGATCAACACCAAGCAGGGATTCTGTCTATTTTTGCATCTGTTGCCCACCTCATGTGGAGTTCTGGAAAAACCTCTTGGCTGACAATTGGTTATCAATGTATTTTACAATCAGCTAATTAGCTTGATATTATTTTGTCTCATCACGAATACGGTCCTATTTTTGCTGCTAACTTCAGGTGCTGTATATAAATGTACTGTATGTAAAGTTGTTTGATGGTACCTGTTGGTCTTCCTGGTCAAGTTTTTTGTATGACTATTTGGAATCGACCTGTATTGGAAAAGTAATAAATAATATATGTTTAGTGTTTGTGTGGTAAATTGAACTAACAATCAAAGATTTCATGAAGGGTCAGGTATTGGAGAATGTTCCGGTAACGGAGCCAAATACTTCAGCTTAGCCGGGCTTGACCATCACTCAGGATCTTAAAATAACTGAGGAGAAGGTGCTGCCTTTGTAATTACATCTGCAAATAGTTAGACCTTCAAGTCTTCTCGGACAAGGACTTAAAACCATAGGCCCTGTCTCCCAACCCTTCCTAACCTACAGTAAAATGGGGGACATAAAAGAACCTGTTGAATTATTTGTATAAGAGTAGGGGATTGTCTCCTGGTTCAACAGCTTATTCCAATTTGGAGGCATAATACTAATCTACTAACAATTCACACTCATGATTTTAAGTTGCACGGCTGGTAATAGCACCTTAATATGCAGCCTGTAAAGTCCTCCACTGGTCATAAATGTAAAGCACATTGAGATATTTGAAATGCGCTATATAAGAAACTCCCATTATCATTATCATTATTATTAATTTATGACTTACATGCTGGTAATGGTAATATGTCTGCCGTAACTGAACAACTGATACCAAGGTTTGCTAATCCACCTCTGATCATTCCACATGAGAATGCCAGGTACTACATGGCCAAAGATAAAATAGAAAAAAATGAAATGATTTACAAGGGAAGGGGGACAAGTTGTTGTGTAGACGTCACGCTTTTCATTTCTTCCTTGCTTTCTTCCCACCATCCCTCCCTTCTTTTCTTCCTTCCTCCCTCTCTCCTTTGTTTCAACCTTCCTTCCCTCTCTACCTCCCTCCCTCCCTCCCTCCTCCCTTCCTTCTAACCATCCATCAATCAAAAGAGACCTTCATCATACCTTGAGAGCATGAGAACATCATACCTTAGGAGCAGATTCTGTATACTGTTTTCCATTGGATATTTGGGTAAGCAATCTGAATTGGTTATCTTGGAGAACATAAACTCCCTGAAAGTGAATCAGACAAAATTGAATGGGGCATATAGCACAACTCATCTCTATGCATTTGTGCCTACTTTGTGAAGACGTTTGAGAAAATGTGATGAAAAACTACAATGACTTTAGCCATTCCAAGGTCAAGGAAAAAATCGGGTCAAGTTTGTATTGAACTGCAATATGGGCTGTTTAGGGCACAACTTATCCCCTTTAATAGTCCCACATAATGCACTTTAATGCCAACTTGACTCTGTTTTGCAGTTATGAAGACCCCAGCCAACCAGAATGTAAGATTACTATTCTTACCAAAAATGTAATTTTCATCACTTTCTGATTGGTTGAGAGCCATGGTAAATAAGCCATTATACTGTACAGAGCATGAAAAAGCTGTTTTTGTGAGTAAAGGTCTTGCCATACCTGATGATTAGTCCTCAGATTGTCTATTTGTTTCTTAAACAATGCTGTCCAGAAATCTTTACAAACAAACTTCATAATATCTAATTCATCTTTAAACCTGGGAGAATCCTTTGTAAATCTGTAAGTAAAATAAAAACAAAAACGCAAATTTAGTTTAATGGGTTAGTTTTTTTCAACATTGTGCAGTGGGGAGATAATATCCACATCCTCTGTAGTCGTGTGTCCAAAAGACTGTAGACTTCTCCAATTTCTTAAAAATCTCATTCCTAAAAACATAATATAAAGACACATCTTACCTCTCTACAAGTCTCTGCCCTACATTAAATCCCATGCGGTCTAGGGTTTGTACTGCATCGTTCTGCATGCACAAAATCGATAGAAAAATAAAAAATTTAACAAGAACTAAGCTTCTAAGTTCATCCATCTCTCTCTTATCTAATCAAAGTCTCACGACCCATCACAAAAAAAAATTGCTAAAAATAAAACCAATAGTTTCGAAAGATAATAATTCATTACCTCAATAAACTTTCCTTGCCTTTCCCGATGAGTGTAGTTCACTATTTCGTTATGGAGAAAGTCAAAGGCTGAATCAACTTCCGCCATTTTAATATTTTCTTGCTCTAATTTGGTGACCGTAACACTTTTTTATATGGGAGAACGCTGGAGAGTATCACTACGGGCTCGAATTTTTCTAGATTTCCAAAACTAGCAATGGCTTCTGCAAAAAAATCCAAGCATGATTTCAGCGATGTTAGTGGAAGAATCCGCAAAGCTACAGCTAAAAGGGTGAAGCTTTATGACTCGATCAGAGGCAAGGAACCTACGATTCCATTCTGGGATATCGTGGTGATCAGCGCATTGGACAACGCGCAAAAAGAAGCTTATGAAATTCAATTAGAAGCGAAACAAAAACGGAATGAGATCCCCTTGGGAGTGAACTACCACGTGTTTAATGATCCCCCCGGACCTAAGATAGGTAACGGAGGCTCAACGATCGTCTGTATTGATGAGCTGTTGAAGATTTATGGAGAAGAGAAGCTCAAAACGTGCAAGACAATGTTAGCACATGCTGGAGGCTATAGCATGAGAATGCCCAATGCTAGCGTCTTGGGCAAGGTTTTCACGCCTCTACCGTGGGGTAAATATATACTATTAATATTAATGCATTATTCATAGTAATTAGGCTTATTTATTGCTTTGTTTGTGTATTTGTGAATATTTGGCTTTTGTTTGTATTGCATAAATCATTGACAGAATTCCAATAGGAGGTTTTATCGTGACGTTTAGATTGTTTATCAATATTTTTTTATTTAATGCATAGATATATCTAAGTAATAGTTTTGGGAGTTTTGGATTTGATTTTTGAGATTTTGAACAAGTTTTGCTTAGTGACATATCAAACCTCATGGTCTCACCACAGGAAGCCCACTACATTCCTCTGCACTCCACAGGGAGCCCATCATCGTAATCACCCATCCTTCATTTCATGGCTTTATATATCCTTTGATTGCACGTTACATCATCGCGGCTTCTCAGGGGAGTGTTTTGACAAAAGATTACTTATAAGCATCCATCGTTAATGGTACCACAATGGCCACCATACTTTTGTCTATTAGCTCCCTTGGGAATGCTTGCAACCCATCAATATATTGTCATATGTTGTAAAATATTTAGGAACAAGGTCAAAACTCTTTTACCAGATGAGATTAGAGGGGAGGGGTGGGGTTACTTAGTACCAACGACGTATGGAAGGGAAATCCTGAATTTTGCACAAGCGTGACTCTGTCCTGATACAAACATGGTAGTCAACCAATCAGTGCACGCCTTATATCTGAAATATTTTGTAATTGTGTATAGAAACATGTAGTTACTAAGGACACCCAGTATTGAGCTTTTTAACAGATCTATGCACAGGGGAGGGGAGGGTCATTTACAGTTACCCACCACATAGATCAAAAACATCAGTTCCCTATTTTGGACCTTTGTCTTGACTTTGTCCTTGTATGTATATTCTCTTTTCATAGGTCGTCCATCCTACCAGATGATAGACATGCTTATGGCTATGTTCATTGAATTCCCTGCCAACATGATTCCTGGAATTCTACTGGTTTGTCCAGACACATTTGAACTGTTCAACACAAATGGGGAACCATGTTCGTTCACTGAACCAGGCTTTACTGCCCTTGCACATCCTTCTCCTATCGAGGTCGGCACAACTCATGGGGTCTTTGTTCTGGAAAACAATTCTGAAGATATGGTAAGGGTATAGAAAGGCTTGTGCCATCCTCTTCCATCCCCTCCCCTCCCCCTCCCTTCCCCAAATAAACTTTCTCCTAATAAAACATAGGTATAAAGAAATTTTATGTTAATTTTGTCATCAATCATTGCAATCATTATCAATCATCATCAGTCATTAACAATTATGATCAGATGATGATGATCATTGATATCATCATTGATTGGTACTAGCAACATCATCATGTTGTTGTTGATGATTATGTTCATTATCATCATCATCTTCATCAACTCCATCAACATCATCATCATCATCAACATCATCATCATCATCATCAACATCATCATCATCATCACCTTCATCAAAATCATCAACATCAACATCATCATCACCTTCAACATCACCAACATCATTATCATCATCATCATCATCACCTTCATCAACATCATTATCATCTTCTCATCATCATCATCATCACCAACATCATCAACATCATCGCCATCATTATCATCATCATCATCAACCATAATATCTTCATCATTATTATCATCGTCATCATCAGCTTCAGCGTCAACCAAAACAACATCATCGCCAACAACAACATCATCATCATTGTTGTTGTTGTTATAAACAATGTAATTCTCAATATTTAAAGCATGAAGATGCTGTGGTCAAGACAAAATGTTCAAGATTTCTGCACAAGCCATCTGTAGAGAAAATGAGAGAGAATGGTGTGGTATTTCAGCATGATGACAAGGAACATGTATATACTGATAGTATATTCTTTGTTGACTGGACCACCGCCAGCCAATTGCACCAGGCCATTAGTAAACTCAATATCGACTGTGAGATCTGTGCATTTGGGGACTTTCTTCAATCTCTTGGACCAGACTCTTCAGTGGACTACACAAGGTTTGTACTTTATCAATATTAATTTATCCAACTTTACCAATCTGAGATGGATGGAAAGCCTTACAGGTCTAGGACCCCATTACAAGGCAACTTATAGATGAAATTAGAATTTGAAAGTTGAATTTTTTGGAGGGAGGAAAACTGGAGAATCCAGTGAAAAACCTTCAAAGCACAGGAGAGAACCAACAAACAACTCTACTCACATACCACACTGAGCCCGTCAGGTCTTGAACCTGGTTTGCAGTGATGAGAGGTGAGCAAGTTCACCGCTACGCCACATGTGCTTCCCTTGTTGTGCAACTTACGGTTGTGTCTGTCAGGGATGTTTTTAGAACAGGTGGCTCATTCTTCCATGGAAAAGAGGCTTTGCTCCATCAGAAGATGGCAGCCATGACAGGAGGCAGGAACAATTGAATCTGGTCTTATCTGATTTGCATGAGAAAGAATTCAGTTTCCCAAACGGAAAATGGATTTATTGTTAAGCCTACTGTCGCAGCTGCTATCATGTGATGTTCTCTTATCATCCAATCAAAACACTGTTACAGTATGACTATAACGAAATGTTTTTCCATTTACACGATTTCTGCTCTATGCATTATTCCATTCTTTGATGGATTCTTAAAACAGTCATTTTTACTTGTTTTAGAAACGTTGCCAACGTTACCAAAGTCAGTCCATCCCTCATCAAGACAAGAGAAGCCATCTATGAACAGTTAAAAGGAACACAACTCAACGTAATCATCTTGAATGAATCAAAGTTCTATCACATTGGTACCATAGCAGAATACATGCATCATTTCTGTCTTGACCCTGTCTTCAGGTAAAACAATATTATTATCTGACCAAACTCATGCAACGTCTATTTTACTAATAATATTGTTTATTATTAACAATTATTCGGGACGCATAAAATTCCACTCTTCTTTCAAATATAGAGCTCTTCACCTTTGGTATAAAGTTTTCCCATTTCAGACCACGTGTCATTCCCTAGAGTATTATTTCTTTGTTTAACGGTTGTGCATGAGAAGACAATTGAATATGGATACAACTTAAACAAAGAATCTTATTCCCAAGAAAATGACAGACTCATGGTCTGAAATGGAAAAACATTACGTCCAAGGTAAAGACGTTTATTGCCTCCATTTATTTATCCATCTCTTCCAGATACGAGGCCAATTCCGTCCATGAAGCTCATGTCTCCAAGACTGGCAAGTATTCCCGCTCTCCCAACACCGTCATTCCTCAAAGCACTATTCTTATTCATTGCCACAAAAACCTGCCCTCCCACGTCGAAGCGTGCTGCGTGCTAGATTGCTGTGAGATAGGCGAGGGCGCATGCGTCGAGAAGGGCTGTATCGTAAGCAACGTGTCCATCCCTGAAGATGCTGAAGTCCCCGAGAATGTGTTCGTCATGACTGTCTGTGTGAAGCTGGAAGGGGAAACGGGCTTGTTTGTCACTGTGGGTTATGGAACAGAGGATGATATGAAGAAGACGGCTGCTGTTGGAGAACTGAGCAAGATTAGCTACGTGGGGAAACCACTGAATGAAGTCTTTAGTCTTCTGGGAATAACACAGGTTGGTGTCGGTAGCATTAGTGTTTTCTGCTCACCTCTGGGGCCTTAGATTTGATTCCTGGATTCAAAATCACTTGTTAGAGTTTGTTGGGTGTCTCTTGATTCGAGGGGTTTTTCTCCTGGTACAAATGGGAGCCATTATTGAGAGTCACGCATTTCCACTCTACGAAAACCCCTCTAGTCGCTCCTGTAATCAAAATGCATACACGCGTGACTGTCACACCACAGTAAAGCTTTGCAGTTCCGTATCTTAAAAATTAATTCCTAGACATCCTAATCGACTCGGCAAATCTCCTTAAATATTTTTTCTTATACGTTTGTAGAGCGACTGGGATATGGTGTCTCTTTGGCACGCTAGACTTTTCCCCGTCTTCAAAGAACAAGCTCCATCAGTCCAGTACACGCTTGAAGTACTTCGCGCCTTGCGAGAAGGCGGCGAAATTTCTCTACCATCCGAGGCAGACACTGTTGGAAAGAGACGGCTGTCAATGGCGGATGTCTTAGTTTACAAAGACGTAAAGAGTACCTTAGAAGTGAGAGAAAAACTCAGAGAGAAAATCCAAAGTTTGAAGTAGGTAGGCAAGATAAAAACAAGGTAGTTATATTACACTTTATATTCCTTTCATTGTTTTCTCAAAAGAAACAAACAAAAAACAGCGCGGTCAAACGTTTTGCGCATGCGTCACGAGCTGCACGGGCGCGTCTTTTCTCCCGCCAAAATGAAATCTTATAGCTAAAACAACAAATTATAAAATTTGAAGGCGTTAAAGTTTGGTATATCTTAAAATTTTGGTTTAAAAATATTAATAGAAATATCTCGAATGTTAGAAAAACCTCGGTTTTCATAATTAGAAGTTGTAGAAACAGTTTAGACTCTTATAAGACTGTTATTCCCTTCACCACGTCGATGGAAAGAGATTTGTTCTCTTCTTTTATCCTTGATTCTTAAGGGAAGCACATTAAATTGAAATGCAATGACGTTTGACCGCCCTGTTCAAAACAGGATGGAAAAGTTGGGGGGGAGGAAGGGAATACCGGAGGAGGGGGGGACTAGGTCGTCATTTAAATCGTAAAACTTTCACTGGTGGACTAAGCACTTCGTTACTTTATAATAAAATACGTTGTTTCTTCAAAAGAGACCAAACACTTGGTGTAAGTAAATTGAGATATTTTGTCACACTGTCATGATTGAACGCCAAATGTTGAGAAAGCAAAACCTCGATATTATATTGATTAGAAATTTGAACGGGAACTCAGAATTCGAGTCTGAATATACTGAGTTATCGCTAAAATAATCTATCGTAAGGGAAGGCCAGTTTGAAAATTATGCAGTACGTGTTGTGTTATATCTTCACATTTTCTAAACGAAAAGAATGACTAGAAGTTTCTGCAAAAACAATGAGCTTATATTAACCCTTGCTAAATTTACCGTAAGAGATATTTTGTCCAAAATCTTTGACGAGTACGTGTGTACGTTTAATCTTTGTTCTATAAAAAGTAGTCGACCATAAAACCGTCTCATAACATCTGCTATTTTTTCCGGTCTTGGGTTCCTTGATTTATAGAAAATATCTATTGTGATTTGGATTGCTTCTTATGAAGTATGCACTCTTCAAAGAAGAAAAGAATTACTTCTTATCTAAAACGAATAGTTATTGTTAACGTTTAATATTCTCCCCTAGGATATTATGATTATCGAATTTATTTGAATAATCCTCGTTTCTGAAAACGCGCTCTCGAACAACGATGCAGCATCTAGCAGCAGCCATTAGCAGACGGCTTAATGAACTTGTACATATTTTCGAGTTTGTTTAAACAATTTCGACCATAAAAGAAGCTGGTCTCATTTCCGTGAACATACGCTTGACACATTCCGCTTTCCCTTACTTTGGAGTCTTCTTGACAACTTAATAACCTTGATTCAACTTCGGCCCAATTTGCCTAAGTGCCCTCGGAAACAATTCATATTGGAGTATGTCAATTAAATACTCAACAGTATAGATGTAGCGACATCAAAACCGTACACTCTTTATTTAGAAATTGCGCCATTCCATTACGGGAGAGTTTTGGAACAATTTATTCAGCTGTCGAGAACCTTGAAGGTCTCAGGCACACAACCGATAGCTTGGCGGCTTCGCTCTATTCTTCTTACTAATGAACTGTGTCAGGTTGAGTGTGTTTTTCCATTTGTGTCACTGGTCTAGATATTATTACACTGCATTTGAAAAGATTACCTTTGACATATCAGAATAGAAATACAAACACTCTATGGGTAAATTAGTTTATTGTGGAATAAAAGGTGTCGAACAGTGTAATCCTTCTTTGACATGGAATTCTTTGGCACCTGTATCGGAGTTGATTTTCAAAAGGTTTTGGCATTGCGAGCTGTCAGCAAGTCTTCCACCAACACGTTTTTCAAAGATGTTTTTACAAGTTATTTGGAATCCTCCTCTGTACCCGAAAACGTCCACTGTTAAAGTCTTCATGACAACTAATAGTATTCCAAACAGTAAATGCATTTTTCAAAAGGATCATTCGGCTAGAACCATGATAATTGTAAACTACATCAACCAGTAACAATATTTTTCCCCCTCAGCGAATGTAACTGTGAGTTTTCGAGAAAAGTGTTATGGCAATTTGAAAGTCAACATTGGATATTGGTTCTTCAATTGGAAGCATAACGAGATTTCGTGTTGAATCTAATTTGTTTAGTGGACAAGTTGTTTAATCCTTTGAATGGTCTACAGTTTGCTTCTATTATTCAATGATGTTATAAAGAAACTTTTGTCAAATTTATTGTTTTAGTTCATACCAAAATGATTGTTTTAACTCTATTCTGTTTTGCTCAATCCAGTATAAATCAATTAAGAGCGCTGTGAGGGAGATTGTAGAGAGATATATTGCTATATTACTGGATTACTAGTTTAAATGTTACTATGTAACTAAAAAGTAATCACGATTGGTGTGAAATTCTTTGCAGGGATCCTTGTTTGACAAGGTTTTTTTTGATTAAATAAACAAAATCTTGTTTTTGTCGCCGAGAATTTGTTAATGGTGATACACTTTCAAGTGTAAAAAGAAGAGATTTATTTTCGACCGGTTTTAGGCTTAGTACTCGAGGAAGGTAAAAGTTGGTGAAATTTCTCACTGGTGGGTGCTGGTCGAATACCAGTCAAACCCCACGAGGGAATCCCGTCCGTTCTTGACAGCAATTTTTGGCAGCCGCATCGCTTGGTAAATCTGTCTTGTTTGTCTAACTTTTATAGAAAGAATGACATAAGACACAGAAACAATTTGTAATCAACCAATCAGAGTTTGTGATTAAATGAGTTTGGTAAGAGAATACAAAGGATATGGAGGTGTTGTCTTGGACAATGAGAGCGCATACAATTGTTGCTTTCTTATGATCAAGCGATTGCCATTTCGATGAGAGCCATCTAGACAATCCGAACTCGAATCTGAAGAGCGTGTTAATAGGCTGGACAGATCTGAGAACTTGACTATGGAGGATACTTCGTTCGTGATTCAGAATTCATATGCAGATCATAAGCCACCGAGGATGCCCAAATGTGCAAGATGTCGCAACCATGGGGTCGTGTCTTGGTTGAAAGGACACAAACGCTATTGTAGATGGAGAGACTGCACTTGCCCCCAATGCACGCTTATAGCTGAGAGGCAGAGAATTATGGCAGCACAAGTGGCTCTGAGGAGACAGCAAACACAAGAAGAGAGCATGAGAGTAACGCGGGCCCCGACTTCATCTCTGAATGCCGTCTACACCGAAATTCCAGAACCCCATACTTCATCTAAAGAAACATCCCCGAATCATGGTAAGAAGTTTATTCAATTCTAGCCGTTTATTTAAATATATATCAAAACCTAATTTCTAATTAAGGTAAGGCTATTGCAATGGCATTAGCTCAGCACTCTACACTGAGTGGATTGACACTTAAAGAGAGCTGGCGTAGGTCATCACAACTGAAGCGTAGTTTGGAAGATGTTACAAATTATTATGTATTTGTAGTTCCTTTAGGTTGTCACTTGTTTTACCCGTATGCAAACAACGGCGCGTTTGAAGTCTTTTCGCCCTAACTCGTTTTAATATCTCAAAGAAACGAGGTCAAATTTTGGATGACATTCTTTTTCTTTCAAGGGACAAGACTAGAAACCTTCAGTGTCCGGTAGACGTATTCCGTGTTGCTCGCAGTGTTTGAATATGCATTATTTTTTTCATATCTTTCTAATTCAATGGATAATTCTCTTGTTCAATTTACACGTCTAAATCACTTTATTCTTTACAGGGCTTAAGCAACACCGTTTGTTATATTAAGTGTGAATTATTTCAAGAGATCAAGCTTTTTTGTCGCAACTTTTTGGACAAATTCGTTTATCGACAACTTCCTCTCTTTACTCACGTATCCAGTTTCTTCAATTTTATTTCTCACTACTAAAATTAGCTCTAAAACGTCTACTTGGAACTGGTTTTGGAATTCTTTAAACTTTGAGTGGCCCCCCAGGAGAATAAACTCAAACAAAACAGTCTGGAAATTTTACATAATTATTCAAAAATGTTTTGAAACGCAAAAGGTAGGACTGTCGAAAGGTTTTTTCTGAATAAGTGTAACGAGTTGGGTCGTCGTTTATGACACTCTCCTATACCCTAACTCTTTAACAGCTCAACTGCCTAATGAAATAGAATTTCTAGTAATCCTTCAATCTTGTTACATAAACATTTTGATTTTTGTTATATACAAACATATTTTTGGGCGACGATTTTAAAGTTATAAACTAACTTTCAATGTCTGTATTTTTGTCGTATTTTTCTCCACCAAGGAGCTCGTTATTTTTTTCTTCATTTCGTTGAGCAATTTCCAGTTGAATTTAAAATATATAACCATTAAGTTTGAAATGCTCTTTTTTCTATATTCAAACGCAAAATGTAGAATTAATGTAGAAAAGAAGTTACTGACTCCAACATAATTTCATTTTGATTGAGTTCAAAAATAAACGATAATCAATGAAGTTTTAAATTCGAGTGTTTCAAGTTAGTGTTGGCTTTTGTTTGTCAGTTTGTAATCAAGCTTTTGTCATTGTTGGTACGTAGTTTCGAGATTCATTTGGTATCTTAGCGAAGATCGTATCATCCTTGACTACTTTGTTGCAAAAAATAGCAATTGCTGCTTTTAAATCTAGATAATTCACACATTGTTGGAGGAACTAAATAGTCTTGTGAAATGCTCACAACACCTTAAAAACAGGAAAGCCATTTACCAGCTAACGAAGGCGGCGCCTTTTTTAAATATTATGTTTTAATTGCTGTCGACCGTGTTCAAGCTAATATTGAGTCACAACGCAACTCTTTCGAATGGAATTCAGTATTAAGATCAGATTTTTCGTTTTTAATGTAAACTTTTCATGATATGTGTATTTTGAAATGATTTCAAGTCATTGTTTGGTAACTTATACTTGAAAGAATTCCTTGCAGCTTCTAACAATTACCAAGCAACTCTTTGAATGTCAAATGCTTTTCTGTTGATTGAAAGACAGCAAATGGAAAATGGTTTTTATAAACAAATGTCACTTCGTTCTTATTTTTTTACGATAGAGGTTTTAAGTTTTTTTTGTCCTTTTTTATTGTTTTAGATGAAGGAAGCCCAAGGACAAGCAGAAGCAGCTCAGAAAGCAGTATAAATGTTCATGAAGTGAAGGTCAAGTCTGAGCCAAAGAGCCCAGGAAGTTTCGAAAGAGAAACTGTAGACCTAAATAACAATTGCGATAGCTCTCTCACGAAACAGAAGCGAAGGTTCAGTGAGACGACCACCGAAGATGAGCCGAGTACGAACAAGTACTCTAGGATATCTCCCAAACAGAGATCTCCTGTTAGTAGCAAAGTTGCCGATGTGCCTGAAGAATCGATTGAGATTCTACAGAGAATTTTTCCTCATCAGAGTCGAGCTATTCTAGAATTGATAATGCGTTCTTCAGAGAATGATCTCGTCAGAGCTATCGAATCTCTGATACCTGACGGTAGCACACACCATCCCTATCCTACTGTGGTCTCAGTTCGCGGTTATGGCAGACAAATCGTCCCTTATCCACCGACGGAAGACAATGGGAGGCGCTCAGCATTTTCGCCCATCGGGAAGAACGGACTTTATCTTACTAATTCACAGAAGAAAGGGGCGCGCTCTTTGAGTGCTTTCCATCCTGTTCATCCATACACTCGACCAGATGCAACCCCAGCACCAGTCCAAGAACACTTCAAAATACCATCACCCCATATTCATCCATATGGCTATAACAGACACGCTTCTACTGCACTGCTGTCGCTTAGCAGCGCAAAGCACGTGCCTGTGACGCCAGAGCAAGGAAAGTTTTGTGATGTTTGTGGTTTTGGAGTCAATGGCGGGGACAAGTTTTGTAGCGAATGTGGGAAAAAATTACAATCGAAAGTTCAGCTTTGATTTTATACCATGTTAATGTATAGTTCGATATGAAGTCGGAAAATAGACTCGGCCACAAATATAGACTTTGCCTATTTATCAAAGAGAGCTAGCGAAAATGTTAGGAAAATGGAATATTTTTATTTCCGAAAAGCTGTTGTTTATCGAAAAAAGTACCTCAAACAATGGACGTGAAAAACTAGTCGTCCGAAGAAAATTTCGCAAGAATTACATGTAAGGTCATAGCAAATTACTAAATGGCTGGCACTTCGTGTTATGAACACTTCAAGTTTTTTGTCACAGTTTTATAAAAAGCAAACTGTGTATTATCCCTTGAGTCAATCGGGTGGAAATAAGGTTAGAGTTAGGGTTATTTTGATCACTCGGTGTATTTGAACTCAATTTTTTGAGAGGGTTTGAAACAGAAAGTTCAGGAAATAAAAACGTGGGAAAAAAACTCGAAGTGTCCACGGTTCGAGTGTCCTCACTAAGAAGTGTTTTACTACATTAGAAAGTAACTTACATTAATCCTTTCGTTTTGTGCTCGTTCGTATTGTTTTCCTGATATTTAAATCTTTCTATTGTCTGATTTCGTATTCAATAACCATTACTGATGCCATGAAAGCGGCTTGTCTAATGCATATTGCAATAAGATTTAAATCTGGCTTTTGCAACTTGAAGTTTTTGTGTTGATTATCGAAGAAGAATCTTTTGTTTTGCTTTATCTCGTAGCTGCTTCTATGAGTTTTTTAGTATTCCTTAACTATTTTACCAGAGTATTTATCACGGAATTTTACAGTTAGTTCAGTTTTTGCCCAAGCAAATAAAGTTAAGATCTGTTATGATATTTTAGAGCTCTTTTTATGTTTCTTTCGACCTGATTTTTCAAAAACCTCTGTTTTTGGCTCCCGGCATTCAAAATTATTTTACTCTTTTCTAGTCGTGCGAGGAATTGTGGTCAAAGATAAGTCGAATATGAAGATTTGCGACAGCCCCACGATGTGCTGTGCGCGTTAAGTTTTACTAGCTAGTCCTTCAAAAATATTATTTTTGGGATACATATAAGGATTAAATATAATGTTAATAGCTTTGTTAGTGTGAGATTGGTAATTTATTAAACAAAGATTTGGTGTGTGAATGTTACTGCAGTTTTTCATTACGGGTTATTTTATTCTCCTTAATTCCTTCCTTCCTTCCTTCCTTCCTTCCTTCCTTCCTTGCTTCCTTTTTTCCTTCGTTCGTTCGCGCGTTCCTTCCTTTCATATTTACATGCTGTCGTAAAACAGCCCAAAATGTACTGCAATGCCAAGTTGACCCATTTTTTCCCTCAACCTCGGAACGGCTTAAAGAATCAGCTCAGTGAGAAAATCTCCCAGAAATCCAATAACAACAATCATTCAAAAATACATGTATTTAATCGTTTTAAGAATCCTGCAATTCTATTTTACAAAATCTTATAATTTTTAACAGTTGTAAAAAATATACAAAGACATTTAAGCAAAGTCAAGTCAAAGGTAAACGATATATGTGTTTCTAGAAAGATGTTCTATTTGTCTACTACCTGATTATTTAAAAGAACAGACTCGATTTAGTCTGTATTTTGACTTTTGTACATATTTGTAATATGGCGACCAATTTGAATAACTATTTTACACTGACAAGCGACTGACTAGCCTCCCATACACGTGAAAACGCTTTTATGTTTCCACGTGAACACGAGGCTAGTCAGTCGCTAGTCAGTCCAGAACGATCGGTTATTCAAATTGGTCGCCATGTTTTGATTCGGTGTATATATTTTGTTTTTGTACACTGAATAAACTTCGTGCATGCTTGTGAGACCTCGTAGAGATAGAGATTCTCCTTCCCAGTCACCTTGTTACTAGTCTCCGCTAAGAAACGAATAGCTCTGAGCAAATTCGACTGAGCGGCTTTAAAAAGTCGTATCTTTCCATTATTGCATTAGAAAATCCAATGAAAGTTGAAATTACCCAGGGCCTTGATTTCTTGTCGGATAAAAGTGAACCGCAAGATCTGGGAACTACAACGGCAATCTCGTACCCAGAGCCTGCGTTTCTTCTGGCCTGCAGCGAAGAACGAGGGCTCTGGCATAATCCATTTTTTGAGACCAGGATTTCTTGGACTTCCGGTTTAAAAGCGCATGCGTTCAAAGACTTGCCAAAAATTAAAAATATTTTCCCGATTTCTAATTTTTCCTATGATCTTTATTTTGATTTTTACTTCGATTTTTGCTTTGATTTAATTTTTAATTTGATTATTTTGATCGGTTATATATCTCTTATTCGAAAATTGCGCATGCGCCAAAAAATGGACTATGGCAGAGCCCTCGTTCTTCGCTGCAGGCCAAAAGAAACGCAGGCTCTGGGTACGAGATTGCTACAACGGGCTTTCCTTTATGCTGACGCAGATGCGCAGTACGCATGCGCAGTTCTGTGTGTTTTACCCTCTTTCAAATCTTGTATTTTCAGGTACTTTTATTCAACCCTGATATTGATTACGGTTATATTGGTAACCACTATTTCTATTATGCTGGGTTCTGCGGTTTTGGGTAGTGTAACGGCTTTGGGCGTTGCGATTACGGTTGTACTGGGTGTTACGGTTGTATTGAGTATTACGATTTTGGACGTTCTGATTTTGGGTGTTCCTGCTGTACTGGTAGCGATTTTGAATGTTACGATTAGGGATGTTACGATTATATTGGTTACGATTTTGGATGTTACGATTTTGATTGT